TACCAATAAATTGATTGATTGATTGATTGATTGATTGATTGATTGATTGATATTTTTTACTGTGACAGAAGAAAGGAAGCATCAATATTGAGAAGATATTACATTATTTTGAAATCTGAAAATTATCGACGTGAAATTTCAAGTTTTCAACAGTAGGGACACCTGCGTTGTAGGCATCTTTATCATTCTTTTGAAGTAATCAAATATCTGATATCACTTCTGTCAGTCCAATTCTGTGATTTGATTTCAAAAAATGCGAATTTAGTGGTTGTTTAGTAATATACGTAACCGCGATTTCGAATGTAAGATAAAAGGACTTGCAGTTCTTTCTCGGAGACGGTATTATTTACTTATTTTTCGGAAGTATAGCACAACAAAAGCATCAACAGTGTGATATATATATATATATCCAGGAAAAAAGTAATTCATGAAAAGTGGCATTTTATAACCTGCCAACAGAGATGAAATGCCAAACTTTTTTCCCGTCACAGAAAAAATGTAATTAATGAAATGTGACATTTCATAAACTGTCAACAGAGATGAAATTTCAAACTTTTTTCCCGTCAACATCAGATATGAAATAATCATAGGTATGTCAAAATGAATCGCTCTGGTTATATGGTTTGTTCATTTATAATTGAAACTTCTTATGCTTCATGAAATAGTCTAGCAAATTACCACGCTGTTCTGAATATCTTCTCATAATTCTGTCTCTCTCGTGACGGACTCGTGGTGTTGCTCGGCAGCATAATAATTTTGTGAAGCGACAGAATTTTGTCGAATGAACATCGTAATATTACTGTTGATAATTTCAGGTGATACCGCGTGCACAAAACTGTTGAAAGTCAAAATGTGCTCCAAAAGTCACAGTCAGTGACGTTGAAAGGCATTTTTGTAACAGAAGTGGAAAAACAAATCTTTTAAAAAATTATAGTCATCATTATAATAAGTTAATAGCGGCATTTTCAGATAACTTTCATAGCAGCTCAGGTCAATGTTTATTAGGTATCATTATTCAAGTTACTAGAACATGTATTTAATACATATTCATACACATGTTTTTCATCGAAAAACAGATAATGAATTTTAATAGCTACTAAAACTCAAATTACCGATACCTATTCATTAAAAAAGAATCGAATGAATTCAGGTTTTAGCTAGTGAAATATTATTATTTTCATTCTCATTCAGAACAATTTGTTAAGTACAAAGGTTCCAGGAAATATTGACAAAGTATTAGCACAGGTATTAGTTACTAGTTGTCAGGCCCGGCTTCCCACGGTTGGTGTACCCATTTAAAAAAAAAAGACATTTGTTGCAGTCGTTTCGAGCTATGCGCGTATCTATACAGTACATATTTTTTTGTTATTTTTTAAAAATTTGTATGCTTACCTTTGGCTGCTATTTTAAACTTACACCTATTTTCATTATCTCAGTATCTTTCGTTTTTTTTTTTTTTGGTGTTTTACGTATTGAAAATTTCAACCCAATAGGTCAAGCCGTTTAGTCGTAGTTGACGTACCGACAGCAGCGCCACCTACCGCGTCCAATGAGGAAGTTTCCCGTATTGAGGATCTTATCTCACTGTGGAGTTTGTAAAAAAATAATATATTATACTTCTTCTTTATTTTTTCGTAAGATCAAATTTCACTTCAGAAAAAATTAATGAAAGAGGAACTTGGCTTCTCCACCATTCCTTGGACTTACTTTGTGAAAATTCACATTCACACAGAGCTAAAATACGAGCCCCTGTGCCAGTACGACGTTCCCGACATCATCAATATGTCTAGACGTCCGGAAATTCTACTTTGAATGCATAATAACTATATCATAACAGCAATGGGATATAATAGGTTCTTCAATCCTACTTTGTCAAGTATTATGAATAATTCTCATAAATCTCTCATTGGCCGAATGAAGTTGATTACTATAGTAAAGATAAATAATGATATTTTGCGATAGTATCTATAGTTTTCCACTATCGTTATATCACAATATGTTGTTCATAACTTGTCAGTCATTTTTTTGCTGATGAATTCGTTCCGTAATAAAACGGATCTATTTTCTAGGACTGTTGCAGATTATATCTTGCAACAGCGCCTAATACTTCGAGTCCGTTCACACCACTCAAAATACTGACAGGCACAACAAGAGGAAGGGGCCATGGTTGTCGGCTTCATTCTGTTCTGACCGATGGCAGTAAATTAGGAAGGATAGTATCATTGAATGTAGCCGAAAGTGATTCATTGATTCAATGATATTTTCGAACAGAATCGAGCTCTACTCGAGATATTTCAATGCATAATTCACAAAACCACAACCTGTTAGAATGAAGCCAACTACTCTCTGCATTCCTGCTCCGAGTACATTTGTGGTTATGTATTTTTTTATTTTATTTGATTCTTTGGGATTTTCTCTCCTCGTTTCTATAAAATAAAAATATTCGTATTATTTCAATATATTCGTAGTGAAGAAAAATCCAGTAGCTTGTCAGTGACAATTTGTCTGAAAAAATGTTCGAGGGAAAGAAATATAGATATATTGAAAAATATCGAATTTTTACTTATCTTTGGACGTTTCGGGACTGAATTTGCTCCCGTTCTCAACATGTAAATGCAAAATATTTTTCTTCGAAAGTTGTGCTGCTTATAGTTTGACACTTTTCAGTGTCATATTAATGTTGGCATATGAATGAGTGATTTTAGTCTACAAATGAGTCTTCATTAATTGATCTTTAATCTACCATTTTCATGTTCAGTTTTCAGTACCTAGTGAATACCATGTTCTATCTATATCAACTGATCAGGAATCAATGCTATTGCCTCCGTTTAGAAGAATGCAAGCGGATTCCTTGGTTTTTCTTTTTTGGTTGTTATCTTCCTTTCCTATGATTTTGATATTATTCCTCTCTGCCATATGTTGTCCATCTTCAGTAAGGATATGTTCAGTTAGCTTCGATTTATCGATATGTCTTTTCTTGATATTGTACTTGTGTTCTTTATAAGTCGAAGCTAACTGAACATATCCTTACTGAAGATGAACAACATATGGCAGAGTGGAATAATATCAAAATAATAGAAAAGCTAGCTATATTCTAATTGTGCAATGTTATATATGTATGTTTTGATGTATACAGGGTGTTTCATAAGAAGACTCACATAACCAAATGGTTAAATAAGGGAAATCAGGACGAGTTGATGTATATATATAAAAACATTTTTTGACCCTCTATAACGAAGATACAGGGTATTTTGTGAAATTGTTATATAACTTTGATGGCCGATATTACAGAAATGATTCATCGTAATCTGCTGAAATTCAGCAGCGACGCATCTCTACTGAAACTATTCAAGATAACATATTATGAAAAAAAAATATCCAGGTCCGGACTTGGGAAAATTTCATGTTTCATTGTTATGTCAAAAAAGTTCACTGTGTGACCACTTTTCTCGAAAAAATCCATCAGATTCAGAAAAATCAGACAAAATGCTATAAGAACTGCTCTTCAAATTACACGGCACACTTTGACCGGTTCAATAAAAAAGTATGGAACAAAAAAGCTCGAATGAATTTTCGATTTTGACCTGGCTGATAACTTTCATCTTCGAACTGGATTCGTGTAAATTGATTTTTTGTACATTTTTATTGGATAGAAATTGACAGAAGAGAGGTGTTCTGATTTTTTATGACTTGACATGTTAGTTTTTGACCGAAATTCTAGATGGATATGATTACTTGTGACTCTATATTATAAAGTTATTATAAAGTAGGCCCTGTTTTCATTTTATGTAACGTGGCGTTTGTTGAAAGGTAAACACTGGTAATCGAAATATTCTTGCACCAATAGGTGCCACTTAATATTTCAAATGCTGAACAAGACGAAAATCCAAATGCTGTGCTGTTTGATATCATAGAATATTTCCAGACCCAAGAACACGTTGCAGTAAAACCTTCACGAGGATGAACATCAGGAATTTTGAATAAATAGCAAATGCATCCTTTTATCACTTGCAGAAATGTATCAATAACAAAAAATGGAGCTGAGTTTATGCGTGATGGCATAACTAACTTGATAAATCACCATAATATGGGCACATGAATCATCATGTCGTAATTTCATCAGTTGGTACCTACCTAGTACTAGCCTAGTACCTACCTATCAGTTCGGATTATCAACAAACGACACGTCTCTTCACACAAATGGAAAACAGGACCTACTAGATATCTTATCATTACTTCAATTGAAACCCATTAAACAAAGTAAGGAATAATAATATCTATCTGGAATTTCGATAAAAAATATCGTGTGTTTCCTCCTCATGTATTCTTCTGTCAATTACTATACAACAAAAATGTAGGAAAAAATCAATTCACATGATTCCAGTTGGAAGTTGACAGTAGCCAGGTCGAAATTTAAAATTCATTGGAACGATTTTGTTTCATATTTTTTATTGAACCGGTCAAAGTGTGCCGTGTAAATTGAAGAGCAGTTCTTATAGCATTTTGTCTGATCTTTCTGAATCTGATGGAATTTTTCGAGAAAAGTGGTCACAATGTGAACTTCTTTGACATAACAATGAAACATGAGATTTTCCCAAGTCCGAACCTGGATATTTGTTTTGATAATATGTTATCTTGAATAGTTTCAGTAGAGATACGTCGCTGCCAAATTTCAGCAGATTACGATGGATCATTCCTGTAATATCGGCCATCAAAGTTATTTAACAATTTCACATTATACCCTGTATCTTCTTTATGGAGGGTCAAAAAATGTTTTCCTATATATACATTAACTCGTCTTGATTTCCCCTATCAACCATTCGGCTATGTGAGTCTTCTCATGAAACACCCTGTATATCCTTATTATAAACAATGATGTTTCTTGGGGTAATGAAGACAATCAATTAAAAACACATTGGGGCTCGCAAACTTTCCCCACCAGTACCAGAAGGCTGTTTTGTTTCTCGCCCCTTCAACAATTTTCTTCTTCTTGGTTTCAGGCGAGGGATGCGTGGAGAAACCTCTGACCACCCTGTGGAAGAACTACACGCAATCCTCCCGTCCCGACGTGCGGATGCAGCTGACTGTCAGCGGCGGCGGGCTGAAAGCCACCACCAAAGATCACGGCCTCACCGAGTACTGGGCGCACCGGTTGACCACTTGCTCCGCTCCCCCCCAATTCCCGAGGATCTTCTGCTGGGTGTACCGACACGAAGGCAGGAGGTGAGGTTTTCTTTTAGGTTTTGGTTATGGAGATGTCTGTGATTGAAATGGGCTTTCCCAGTATCGTGAAATTACTAAAATTTTGCGCTTTTTCGCTATAATGTTATGAAGGGAATTTAAAAAAGTTATCTTGGCCATATATTTATCGAGAAAATCGAACGAATTATTCAATTGAAAAGGAATATTCTCAAATATATTTATGAACACAAAATATACTTATTCGCATTCTCCATGTGATGAAAATATTAATTCTTTCTCGGTTTATTCAACAGAAAACAACTTCTTTCCGGGTTAAATGCCACGACGAATATTGAATTACATCTATTGAACACACACGATAAGAATTTGAAAACAGAATCTTCTGAAGTAGAGAATTTACATTCTCCTTCATATAAAGATATGCATATAATATCATTCTGAATATTCAACAGAAAACAACTACTTTCCTGGCTATTTGCCACGCCGAACATTGAATTATACATATATCTGTTGAATATACAAAAAGAGAGCATGAAAAATCAAAATCCTCTTAAATTGAGAATTGAACTTCAGAAAAAAAATCATTCCTATCATTGATATGGGAAATATATCTCACACAAACAGGTTACCTACAGTGTGACCCATTTAAGATGGAAGCACCCTTATAAAACTTACATTTTTCAACCGATTGGAATGATTTTTTTTTTGTTAGGTAGATATTCAAAAAGTCTATTATTACACCAAATATCATGAATAAATCTCCATTTCCAGGGCCAACTAATCTGATTTTTCAAGGTCAAAAATCTAAAAAAATTACTAGCGATTTTTTTAGAAAAAATCTGACTACACCACTGGATTGGTGACATTTTCAAATGGGTAACATGTAAATTACGTTGAAATGCGTCAATCAATAGAAAAGTTATAAAGGAATGAAATTTGAAAAATATGCGGTTTAATCAACCCACCAATTCATGTTCAGGAATTTTATGAAAATTCTGTATACTCCACTGGATTCAGGATGTCTTGAAATATTATTGATCACAGTTTCATCGAAATCTGTTCAGTAAAAAAAAATCATTCCAATCGGTTGAAAAATGTAAGTTTTATAAGGGTGCTTCCATCTTAAATTGGTCACACTGTATATGACTTAACTCGGGTAAAACTTATTTCGGATATCATATCCTCATCACTAACCTGAAGTCCAGTTATTCTTTCAGCCATTCTTCATGATATACACAATTTTCATCTCCCTACACAAAAACTATAACGAACTGACATCTGAGAATTATTATAATTTGTTGACATACTCGGAGGATTTTGATTTTTCATGCTCTCTTTTCTGGATATTCAACAGATATAATTCTTTCTTTGTATTGAGAAACTACGACTACTATGAGTAAAGCGATAGCTCAATGGTCTGTGTATCTGACTTCCACGGTAGTGACTAGGGTTCAATCCCTGCGAGGCGTAATTTTTTTCAAATTTTGTTCACTACAGTAATTTTTCAAAAATAGTTCGGTTAAAAGTACTTTCCTTTTTCATGCAGAAGAGATATTTCCTTTCCTCATATTACCTTATAGTCTTATAAACGCGAATAACCTTTTGATAACCTTGAGGTTTCAAAGATTCGCTGATCTATAGCTAGAAGCTTGTGAGTTCTGACGGCTTTGAATCACTGTGCTGTTGCCAGATCTCTATAAAATCATTAAATTGATCCTATGTGCAAGATGGTGCAAGGTGGTGTGTTCAAACTCTTCAAACCACTTCTTTCCAAAATGATAGTTCAAATGGAATGGGCCAGTACCGTGAAATTCGAATCAGTCTCTTCTGATATGTTGCCATTCACATACCCTATGTGTAAATATCGGAGATATTCCACAACACAATATTATCGTTTGATGTTTAATAATAATTTCGAAGGTTGAGTTGTTGCTCATCCGTTTTATTGCCATCAATTCTGAACTAAATTGGTATTGTGTTAAAAAAAATATTCAATGTTGTTTTTCTTTTCTGACGATAGGCTGAGGCACGAGCTGAGGTGCCATGCGGTGCTCTGTTCAACATCGGCTGTCGCTCAACAAATAGAAGAGGAACTCAAACAGTCTCTAGGTAAGAACAGCTCAACTATACATATTTCAATCAGCAACAAACCATTGTCTCCGAATGAAAACCTAAGTAGTAGGGTAGAGGTTTAATAATGTCTGTTTATTGTCCCGAAATTCGCCTGCCTGTCAATGTAAATAAGTACCATTTTAGCTTGCATGCCATCATTTCGTTAAAGTGCGAACCGTAATATTTTTTCACAGCACGAGTATTTACTTCCAGTTTCTACTCAAATTCATCATCAATGAATCGATCATTTCATCATTACATAAAAATAGTGTTTTCTTTATGCATCCTACTTTCTCTAATGCTTGGAATGTTTGAACATGAGAAATTTTGTATTGTAGACCTAACAGAAATGTGGATCTTGACAAGTATTTGAACATTTTCTAGGCTTTAGAGATCACGAGCTTACTGATAATGTATGAATAAAGACGATTTTCGCTTTTTTTCAATGAACTGACAATATTAAACCTCTCCCCTGCTAACTATAGGTTTTTATTCATCACAACAATGACCAAACTGACAGTTTGAATCTGATCCGACATTTGTATATTTATGGTGAATCATGTTTAGTACAGTACTATTTTTATATTTTATTTTTGATTACTTCACGTGAAAAAAAAAACATTGGAGAAAGGATTCATTCTTGCTCATCAATTTTTTGAACTTCAATAAAATTTCTGCTCAATCCCAATCTGGTGTGCGATTGTTGTCTGGAAATCACACAATTCGTTCAGTTCTCCAAAATAACGAGGGGCCTAACTAATAAATGCCTCCATAGTATTTTTTCGATTAATTACTTCGAAAAAAAAGATTAGCTGGAGTAGTGATCGAACCCCGGTCTTTTCGCTCGGAGGAAGGAACACTATACCTTTTCAACTTCAATTTCAGAATCGGTGAGTTATATTTCGGGAAGAGTAATCTCGATTTCAGAATTGATTAGTTCAAATTCAGAAATGGTAAACTCAATTTCAGAATCGGTGAGATGAATTTCAGAAAAAGTCCATTCAATTTCAGAAATGGTAAGTTGTTTTTCAGAATTATTATTGGTAGGTTCAATTTCAGAAGATGAAATCCTTTTATATGTTTGAAATGTTTTTAATTGCAAAAGAGAAGACTGTTTACAGTGGATGGAACGGTGTTTGAGAGCTATATGTTGAATTAGATTGAACATAAATATGGGGTGCCTTCAAGTCAGAAGTGATAAGAGCTTCTTGCAAGATCATCGCCAAAGGGTCATAGCTGGAGATCCGAACAGATTGCTCAACCAGATAGAATTCAGACTGCGATGTCTTGAAGAATGTGCAGATCATTCAATGAACATGATAACACCTCAAATGTGTTTGCATTCTTATAATCATGTGCAACGCCACTATCTTTCAGCGATTCAGATGGAAGGCATCTGTGGATTAAATTGTTTTTGAAAAGTTGAATATTTTGAATATGGTTTGTTAATCTCACATGCAATTGGAAACATTTCGAACAAATATAAGGATTTTTTTATGATATTGAACCTACCAATTCTGAAATACAACTTACCATTTCTGAAATTGAATGGACTTTTTCTGAAATTCATCTCACCGATTCTGAAATTGAGTTTACCATTTCTGAAATCGAACTAACCAATTCTGAAATCGAGATTACTTTTTCCGAAATATAACTTACCGATTCCGAAATTGAAGTTGAAAAGGTATACTCTAATGACAACCACTCTTCTGGCAAAACAAACTACAAAACAATTTTATACGCTCTTGACTTACCACAGTGGCAATATTTCCCGTATAGTGGTGCTATGGCTAGGCTCTAATGAAATGAGATGTTCGAGCAAAGTATATTATCTCGTGAAAGGATAATATACTGTGGTTCGAGGCACTCAACCATACCCGAGACCAAACTCTATATCTGCTCGTAGCTTTGGCCCTGATGGAGTTCAAAAGGGACAAAATCTCCCGCCAGAACGCCCGTCTCTCCCTAGTCAATTCCGTGTACGAGAACCCGACGATACCGCGCAGGAAAATCCTGCTCAGCACCGGCTCCCACAACTACAAGCCGCCCCTGGAGCGCTCCAAATCCGCTCCCAAACTGACCAGCATCGAGGAGATCATCGAAGAAGAGGCTGACGATGTTTTCCACAGGTATGGAAAGCTGACACTGCCGTTTTCTAGTATTTAGTTACTATACACTCGCTGGCAAACAAAAAAACGGTCAGTAAAAAAATTTGTGAAATTGGTCGCCCTGTAACTTTTTCAATGGGGAAGTTTCCAATATTGAGATTCTTATCTCAACGTGAAGTTTATGCAAATTTAATACAATAATATACGTTTTTTTCTCTTTTTCGTGAGGTCAAACTTCACTTCAGCAAAAAAAAATGAAAAATGAGCTTGGCTCCTTCACCATTTCTATGACGAACTTTTTTTTATCGCTTAGTGAGCACGAAAGGGAAGCCCTATAATGTTTGAAGAACATCGTGGAAGTAGGTAGGATTTTTTTTCAACTTTTGGAGATCATAAGTTCTTGGAAATACTTTCTTAGACAATGAATTCTAGATCTTTCCCGTTCTATAGAGAAACGAGTTTTGAGGTTGACAACGATCAAGGATGTGCTGACTGCGCTTGTCGAGTTCGTCTGGCTGGTATCTAGTCGTGGAATGATAGCAAAGATTCCTGAAGAACATTTCTCGTGAAAGTCTCTATAAAAAATTAAAGGCTACAATGTTTCAATGATATCGAAGTGTTAGTGATCGTGGCACCACCCACCAGGCGAATGACTCTTCTCTGGATAAAATCTAAGAACATCAGAGTATGTTTGTGTGCTGAACCCCTTATGTGGGAAAAGTATTCTACACCTTTTCCAGGTGTATTTCAGAAAGCGTCAATTTAATTTCAGAATAGTCACTTGTATTTCAGAAAGCGTCAATTGTATTTCAGAATAGTCAATTCAATTTCAGAAAGCGTCAAATGAATTTCAGAATAGTCACTTGTATTTCAGAAAGCATCAATTGTATTTCAGAATAGTCAATTCAATTTCAGAAAGCGTCAATTGTATTTCAGAATAATCAATTCAATTTCAGAAAGCATCAATTGTATTTCAGAATAGTCAATTGAATTTCAGAAAGTGTCAATTGTATTTCAGAAAGTATCATTTGAATTTCAGAAAGCGTCAATTCAATTTCAGAAAGCATTAATTGTATTTCAGAATAGTCAATTGAATTTCAGAAATCTTTCTCTATAGACTGAAAGCCAGCGACCGCCAGACGCCATTTCAACAAGGTTGATATTTTCTATGTGTGGTATACCTTATTCAGTGGAATCGTTTTGTGGGTTGAAAATCTTCAGTACTGGATGAGCTTTCAAGAGATACCGGGTGTTGAAAGTACAAAAAAAACTGGCATAAACATCATTTCAACAAAAGCTGATCTTTTTATGTTCAATCGGATCCTATCATGATAGAGAATATACCATTGCCAGACACTTTCCACGGGGTGTTCTCCTGCCAGGCAACTTCATATGACATTTACGACATAGCAACAGAGCTTGATTTTGTAAATGTTATTAAGGAGCATATTCTACAGTATCATTCAAACAACCGGTCACTTCCGATTGGACAAACATGTAAAAATCAGAACTTTTTTATAGCAATAGGAATAAGTTTATCTCTGATTGTCCCCTCTATACCTATACCTGAAATTCTGTAATCTGTTCATCAAATAGTATATAGGTACCTAAAAGGTACATGAAAAAAATTTGGGGTGAATAAATTGAAAACATCACTACAGGAAGCACAGAACATCCTATGCATTCTTACATGGAGTGCACTTTCTACTAACCAATCGATCTTGATGCATTCTGAAATTCAATTGACGCTTTCTGAAATTCAATTGACGCTTTCTGAAATTATAATGATATTTTCTGAAATACAATTGACGCTTTCTGAAATACAAGTGACTATTCTGAAATACAATTGACCTTTTCTGAAATTAAATTGACTATTCTGAAATACAATTGATGCTTTCTGAAATTGAATTGACTATTCTGAAATACAATTGACGCTTTCTGAAATTAAATTGACTATTCTGAAATACAATTGACGCTTTCTGAAATACAATTGACTATTCTGAAATACAATTGATGCTTTCTGAAATTGAATTGACGCTTTCTGAAATACATCTGGAAAAGGTGTAGAACAGGTCGTATCTGTGCTTTGTAAATCATGAGAGGCTGTTGAAGTGTGAAGTAGCTTTTCTGAAATACCACATTCACACAGAGTTTAAATACGATTTCCTGTGTCAGTACGACGTTGCCGACATCATCAATATGTCTAGATTTCTGGAAATTATTCTTTGAATACATTATAACTATATCATAACATAACATCATAACTTCTTACGCCCTGTGGCAAAAGTGAGTCATTAAACTCAGCTTTATCATGTTTTGGATTGAGGTGTTATCTCTTCTTAACATAATGGTTTTGGATTCACGTCAATATCTCCTTTAAATGAGAAGATACAAGTCTTTTGAGAAAGTATGGATTTTTTGAATATGCAGAACCTTCATGACCTTATTGATTGAGTTAATATCAATTATTTCAACCTTGTTATTTAGCACTCATCAGAAACAGAAACCTTAAATACTGAAAACAAACGAGACGCATTTCTCCTAGTTGTAGTCAATAACGATCGAGTATGCCCTTCATGAGCATTCAACCACCGTGGCATCTGTTTGATAAGAAGTCTTGAGGAGTAGCCTCAAATTCTACTTGAAGGGTGAATCGTTGTTCTTGAAGAGTATTTGACAAGGCCGGATCAAGATTGTCGATAAACATAAAAAAAATAATTACTTTCTTAAGACACCTGTATATTCTCTTGAAAAAAGATAATGACCTGAATCGAAAACCATTGTGTTAAGAAGGGATCACATTTCAATCCGAAACATGATGAAGCTACATTCGAGCACTCACTTTTGCCACACAACGTTAAGGAATCAATGGTGAAAAAGAAATTTTTGTTTTCCCTGTATAATAATCAGGACATAAGCGTTTTTTAAAAAATTGGAATTCAGGCTAACATTTCGAAACATTAATCTACAATTTGGTCGTAAATGATAACAAGAATTAGAAAAGATGAAGGGCGATAAATTTGGCTAATATATCTACTGGCCGGTTTATTTTGTCGATGAGTGTAGAAAATGAATAGTAGTTTGAAAAACTTAAGATACACGCCTTTATAGATAGCCAAACTAAAAAGAAGTAGAACATAAATAGTAGTTCAAATAACTGAAGAAACACGCTTTTATAGATAGCAAAACTGAAACAAGTTGAAAATAAAATACCTAATAATGTGAGTCAATACATATAGAACATAGAAAATAGTGATTACATTTTTTATGTTGTGTATTTATCACCACACTTTTATTATTTTATGTTATACTCCTCAGTTTGACTATCTTTAAAAGCGTGTTTTTCAAACAACCATTCATTTTCTACTTCTCAGTTTGACTATCTATAAAAGCGTGTTTATTTAGTTTTTCAAACTACTATTTATTTACGCCTGTCTTCCACAGCTCCCAGCGGATTTACAAGCAAATCCTGCTCGAGCACTGCGACACCTCAGCTAGCAGTCTCTTGGACCGCAGGAAAAGCTACTGCTTCGGTAGCAAGCCGACCTTGGGACAAGAGGAGACCTGGAGGAAGTCCAAAGTGACTTTGGGACAGGAGGGAACGAGGAGGAAGTCCAAAGTGACGTTTAGCGAGGAGCTGACGGCTGACGAGAAGACGAATACGATCTTGGAGGAGCTGGTGCAGAGCTCGCTGAGCAGCGATTTGGTGGAGTCGTGCGAGCGGGCTTGGTTCACGGCGCTGAATCAGAAGCCCGATCTGATACCTCTCGATAGTGACGAAGGTTTGTGACTCATTCATTTTTCATCTACGACACACCAATTCCATCTACGACACACTAATTCATTTATAATATTATAATTCAATTCTTTGTATTGGAGGAGGTATCAAGCAATGCTCGTTGAAGAAACCCGATCTGATACCTCTCGACAGCGACGAAGGTCTACGACGCACTAATACACTCATAACATTATAATTCAATTCATTGTATTGGAGGTTGATTCAAGCAATGCTGATTGAAGAAACCCGATATGATACCTCTCGACATCGACGAAAATTTGTGACCCATTAATGTTTCATCTACGACACACCAATTCCATCTTCAACACACTAATACATTCATAACATTATAATTCAATTATTTGTATTGGAGGTCGTATCAAGCAATACTCGTTGAAGAAATCGATATGATAACTCTCGACAGCGACGAAGGTTCGTGACTCATTGATTTTTCATCGAAAATACACCAATTCCATCTACTACAGACTAATACATTCATAACATTATAATTCAAATCATTGTATTGAAGGAAGTATCAAGCAATGCTCGTTGAAGAAACCCGATCTGATACCTCTCGACAACGACGAAGGTCTACGACACACCAATTCCATCTACGACACACTAGTATATTCATAACATTATTATTCAATTCTTTGTATTGAAGGAGGTATAATGCAATGCTCGTTGAAGATATCTTTCGACAGCGACGAAGGTTTGTGACACATTAATTTTCCATCTACGACACACCAATACATTCATAGCATTATAATTCAATTCTTTGTATTGGAGGTGGTATCAAGCAATGCTCGTTGAAGAAACCCGATTTGATACCTCTAGACAGCGACGAAAATTTGTGACCCATCAATTTTTTCATCTACGACACACCAATTCCATCTTCGACACCTAATTCATTTATAACATTATAATTCAATTCTTTGCATTGGAGGAGGTATCAAGCAACGCTCGTTGAAGAAACCTGATCTGATATTTCTCGACAGCGACGAAAATTTGTGACCCATTAATTTTCCATCCACGACACACCAATTCCATCTTCGACACACTAATTCATTTATAACATCATAATTCAATTCTTTGTATTGGAGGAGGTATCAAGCAATGCTCGTTGAAGAAACCCGATCTGATATCTCTCGACAGTGACGAAAATTTGTGACCCATTAATTTTTCATCTACGACACACCTATCCCATGTACGACACACTAATACATTGATATCTCTCGACAGTGACGAAAATTTGTGACCCATTAATTTTTCATCTACGACACACCTATCCCATGTACGACACACTAATACATTCATACCAATATAATTTTACTTCATTGTATTGTAGGTGGTATCAAGCAATGCTCGTTGAAGAAACCCACTCTGATACCTCTCGACAGCGACGATTATCATTACAATAAATTTATTGTATTGGGGGTGGTATCAAGCAATGTCATTGGGAATCAATGTACCAGTTATTATATGAGATAATTGATGCTCAGTTCCGATATTCATTAATTTCCTGACCTTGAATAATGAGAATCCTTATTGAGTAGGAGTGTAGATGACTAGCAAACAAATGAAGACTCCCTTATTCCAATTTTCAGGTTCTCTGTCGAGCGGTTGCGAATCCGCGAGCACAGCCACGTCGGACACGGACCCTATTTTTCCCTCCACCATCAACGAAGAGCAAGCGGCACATCCACCCGAAAAACACCCCAAGCCCAAGCAGCCCGAATCGGTGGACTTCAAGCTGGGCTGCGCCGTGCTGAATCGCGTGCGCAGCTTCGAGAAGATCGCCAATCCGGACCTGCTCAAGTGCTGCGGCATGAGCAACAAAAAGGGCTTAGTGGAGCACGACGAGGTGTCTCTGGTGCCTGTGGGAGAGAGTCCCTCGGATTTCAGTTCGCTCAAGGTATGTACATGGCTATTTTGTTTGTTGTTTTTTCTTCAGTATATGTATATACAGTTCAATATGGTACTTGAGTATACTTGAGTGCTGTGACAAATCAAGAATCGAGTTACTCGGTTACAAAAGCAATAACTGGCATGACCAGGAATCCTCCACATCAGGCAGTGTAGTTTGTTTCTTCTAGAAATGCTTAAATTATGGAGTTTCTACAAGCACAGACGAAAAACATCATTTTTTGCAAGAACAATTATATATAGAAAATGTCTACTTCAACTTTTTATGGGGTGATCTTTTGGCTATAATGTATACCTAGTTTCCGAGTTACGGGCATAAAACTGTGAAAAGTGCGCTGTTTTCTGAGAATATCTCGGAACGCTCCAGGAAATTTTGTTTGCAAACTTCAGATTTAGATTCAGCACCCCCAAAATCGTATTGAACCGTAGAGAAAACGACTACTTGAAATATTTCCACGAGAGGATCTTCATTATAACCGTTTTACTGAGCTAATAAATTAGTGGGTTTTGAAGATCAGGTATGATTTAAGTGTCACAAACTGTAGGCGGGGTTGGCTATGTCTACAACTAGGCAACACTTTTAGTTCCAAGGAGCTAATGTTGAGATTTAGCTCCTTTATAGGAACTAAAAAGGATGTACTAGAGGTCATCAAGAATAAACAACATTGTTACGGCTGAAGCCTCGGGATATAATCTTGGTTCCTGGGTAATAATGATAATCTTTACTACCTTGATGTATAAATAACTATTTCACATGACTTGAAATTCTTTTGCAGGTGTACAAAAAAAGGTGTCTCTCGGATCCGTGTTACGTCACCGTCAGTAACGAAGAAGACGAAAACGGTAGCGCTTGCAGTGACGAGAGCGGCTACGAAGAAGACGAAGTCGCCAGCTCCGTAGCAAATATAGTGCTGGTGTGAGCGACGTTCGCGTGAGACTTTCGTGTGAGCTACTCCCTGTGAGCGACATTCGAGTGAGCGACGTTGTTGTATGATCGAATCTCGGCTATGATTATTATCGGAGTTTTCGATGTTTGGGAGGGGTTTTCGTTTGGGATTCGAGGTTGTGAGGAGACTGTATGGATTCTCTCTGTGATTCAGATCAGGTTGGACCTGATTCAAATCGATATACTTACGGAGTGGAAATGATTGAAATGCGGATTGATTCAGAGGGACAGTTGTTTATGAGAATCAGGGTGTTGAAGTTTTGATGAAACATCTTTTTTCACTACTTATTAAACAGTCTTTCACCAATTTCAAAGTTTTGATATTTTATTGGTTTGAACCATTGAAAAAACAACTGATACTTTCTTGTGGCGCCAGAGAAATGAAATTCTGAGACTTTATGAATCAGGACCCAGACTGAATTTTGCTGTCACGAGAGATCATACAGGGTGACATTTGAAAACAGTTAATACTGTCAACTTCAACATCTTAGAAGCTTTGCAAGTCGACACACTTTTTTTAAGAACTTATTTCACAAAACATGACAAGGAATGACCCATCACTCATTCATTTTCACTCCGTTTACATTAACCGTCAATAAGGGTGGGGCACTGAATTATTTCTAAAGTTTGCGTACTAGAACTGATGTAATTTTGCAACTATTTTCTTTATTCATGTCATACCTTTCCAATTCAAAAAAATGTATGAAAACTCATTAATTTTTGTTTATAAATAAATGGCATAATAAAAATCTGAGGAAATTCAAGACACCAAATGTGGACAAAAAATTAGGTGTTCCCACTTTTATTGTCGGTGAGTTTATTTTTTTCTATCATTGACTCAATGAAGAAAAAGTGCGAATTAGTCTCAATTGAAAAAAATGAAAAGAATCTTGACTGACTAGGAAGGATATCATCTGAAAATTATTTACATTTAGTGAATCTTCCCTACAGAATAGTGATTTGATGATTCATTGACAGATGGCAATAAAACTAACGGAAGAAGCATTCCTATTCCATTACCAGCTTTGAGTCATTCTCAAATATTCATTCTATGTTAAAATATACAGGTTGATCCGATTGCAATACCAAAAAAATTAAGCGAGTGCTAATAAAGGTAGATCTTCGAGAAATATTCGGAAGGTACTGATTTTTGAAAAGCTACAGGGCGTGTATCAGGGCGATAAAGTTTATTCTTGATTTATTGGAAAGAATAGATTAACAATCCTTACAATTTGGACCTAATCTTTTTCTTTTGATCAGCTTCGGTAAGCATCATTGCAAAACTTACACTGTGGCATCGGAAAGTTTGTGACATGGTCCAAATTAGAAGAATTTTTGATAGCCTGTCCAAGAAATCGTGACAAAACTGTTTTTTTCTGATTCAGTTCGACGCCCACTATCTTCCCATCAAATCTTACTAGAGGGAAAAAAAACTAGTGCATCTTTAATATTCCTCGAAGACATTACAGAACCCAAATGAATCACCCTGTATTTTTAGCCTAATGTTGATATGACTAGGAACTGATGAAGGAATATGCTGATTTGAGGTGAAAAAGCCTCATATGTTACTAACATTTGATCGATTCGAATGTATAAATATGTGTATACAGGTACTATTATAATAACGTCACAAAAAACAGTGATTGTAGTGATAAAAATGTTTGTTGAATAGATGATTTGTTATTTTACCAATTTATGTTTGGTATTCTGTTGTGCTGTAATTTTTATAGGTGCACTGATTTTAATATTACTTTTACATGAAATAAAAATATGTATGAATAATCATTTGTTTCAATACTAGAACTTTGATGACATTACGGATCCCAAAAACGTAATATAGGGCTCTCAAAGGATGCCTAATTGCGGAGTAGAAAGTAGAACTTCATCCAATTTTAACCCGTTTTTTTTTGCTACCTGGATCTAGTATGGACTGAATTTTTGACGGAACTGAATCGATTCACGTAATATTTGCTCACGGAAAAAGTTCTTTACCATAATTTCAGCGATCTTTCAGATGTTTTTTTTTTCAATTTTGATCACGAATATCTCGGAATCCAATATTGATAAAAACAAATGGAGTTGAGCTCATCAAGAACACTCTGTATGCAAGTTTTCAGCTTATTTTGAAGCCTGAAATTGGATGAAAAAAGTTCTTTTTCAGACCCACAAACCAAATTCATCATAGAGCCTTCAAATTCGGTATACAGGGTCCTCAAGTGATGTCCTAGTACAGATTAGGAAACTAGCTTTCATTTTAAAAAGTATCCATTTTTCACCTGCTTTTTTTTTCTTGCGGTTCCCTTGATATGAAATGGCTCGATCTAGTACCTCAATAGACTGGAAGATCGATGTAATGAGAACGACTGAATTTTTGGCGGAACTGAATCATTTTGCCCACGGAAAAATTCTTCGCCATCATTTAAGCGATCTTTTTGACAATTTTTCATTACGAATATCTCTTAAATCAATTGAGATAAAAGCAAACGGACTTCAGATTCTTGTTCAGTCCATCAAGAACCCACTGTATGCAAGTTTTCAACCCATTCTGAAGCCTCGAATTGTATGAAAAAAGTTCAAAGAGGTTAACCTTGTTTCATTTTCAGACCCAAAAATCAACTTTGTTGTATGGCCTTCAAATTGGATATACAGGGTCCTCAAATGATGTCCTAGTGCAGATTAGGAAAGTCTTTATTCAATTTTTGATCACGAATATCTCTTAAATCAATAGAGATAAAAACAAACGGACTTCAGATTTTTGTTCAGCACATCAAGAACCCTCTGTATGCAAGTTTTCAGCAAATTGGATATACAGGGTCCTCAAATGATGTCGTAGTTCAGATTAGGAAAGTCTAGCTTTCATTTTGAACAGTAACCTTTTTACGCCTGCATTTCATTTCTTACAGTTCCTTTGATATGAAATGGCTCGATCTAGTACCTCAATTGACTGGAAGATCGATGTAATGAGAACGACTGGAATCATATTGCTACGAAAAAATTCTTCGCCATCATTTCAGACAATTTTTTCAATTTTCCATCACGAATATCTCTTATTCCAATAGAGATAAAAACAAATGGACTTTAGATTCTTGTTCAGCCCATCAAGAACACTCTGTATGCAAGTTTTCAGCCCATTCTGAAGCCTCGGATTGTATGGAAAAAGTTGAAAGGGGTTTACCTTGTTTCTTTTTCAGACCCAAAAATCAAATTTATCATAGAGCCTTCAAATTCGTTATACAGGGTCCTCAAGTGATGCGGATTAGGAAACTCTAGCTGTCATTTTGAAAAGTAACCATTTTTGCCTTTTGCAAAGGAGATAACCTTGATTCATTTTCAGACCAAAAAAATCAAATTCATCATAGAGCCTTCAAATTCGTTATACAGGGTCCTCAAGTGATGTTCTTCGCCATCATTTCAGCGATCTTTTAGACAATTTTTTCAATTTTTGATCACGAATATCCCTTAAATCAATAGAGATAAAAACAAACGGACTTCAGATTCTTGTTCAGCACATCAAGAACCCTCTGTATGCAAGTTTTCAGCCCATTCTGAAGCGTCGAATTGTATGAAAAAAGTTCAAAGGGGTTAACCTTGTTTCATTTTCAGAGCCTCAAATCAACTTTGTTGTATGGTCTTCAAATTTGGTATACAGGGTCCTCAAGTGATTTCCTAGTGCGGATTAGGAAACTCTAGCTTTCTTTCTAAAAAGTTACAATTTTTCACCTGCTTTTCTTTCCTTGCGGTTCCTTTGATATGAAATGGCTCGATCTACTGCCTCAATTGACTGGAAGATCGATGTAATGCGAACGATTGAAGTTCCGGCGAAACTGAATCATATTGCCCCCGAAAAAATTCTTCGCCATCATTTCAGCGATCTTTCAGACATTTTTTTTTTCAATTTTTGATCACGAATATCTCTTAAATCGATAGAGATAAAAACAAACGGACCTCAGATTCTGGTTCAGCACATCAAGAACACTATGTTTGCAAGTTTTAGCTAATTCTGAAGCCTCGAATTGCATGAAAAAAGTTCAAAGGGGTTAGTTAACCTTGTTTCATTTTCAGACCCAGAAATCAACTTTATCGTATGACCTTCAAATTTGGTATACAGGGTCCTCAAGTGATTTCCTAGTGCGGATTAGGAAACTCTAGCTTTCATTTTGAAAAGTAACCATTTTCACCTGCTTTTCTTTCCTTGTGGTTCCTTTAATATAAAATGACTTGATCTAGTGCCTCAATTGACTGGAAGATCGATGTAATGCGAACGATTGAAGTTTCGGTGAAACTGAATCATATTGCCCACGAAAAAATTCTTCGCCATCATTTCAGCGATCTTTCAGACATTTTTTTTTCAATTTTTGATCACGAATATTTCTTAAATCGATAGAGATAAATACAAACGGACTTCAGATTCTGGTTCAGCACATCAATAACACTCTGTATGCAAGTTTTTAGTCTATTCTGAAGCCTCGAATTGTATGAAAAAAGTTCAAAGAGGTTAACCTTGTTTCATTTTCAGACCCTCAAATCAACTTTGTTGTATGGCCGTCAAATTGGATATACAGGGTCCTCAAATGATGTCCTAGTGCAGATTAGGAAAGTCTAGCTTTTATTTTGAAAAGTAACCTTTTTACGCCTGCCTTTCTTTTCTTACGGTTCCTTTGATATGAAATGGCTCGATCTAGTACCTCAATTGACTGGAAGATCGATGTAATGAGGACGACTGAATTTTCGGCAAAACTGAATCATCGTGCCCACGAAAAACATCTTCGCCATCATTTCAGCGATCTTTCAGACATTTTTTTTTCAATTTTTGATCACGAATATCTCTTAAAGCAATAGAGATAAAAACCATCGGACTTCAGATTCTTGTTCAGCACATCAAGAACACTCTGTATGCAAGTTTTCAACCCATTCTGAAGCCTCGAATTGTATGAAAAAAGTTCAAAGGGGTTAACCTTGTTTCATTTCCAGACCCTCAAATCAACTTTGTTGTATGGCCTTCAAATTGGATATACAGGGTCCTCAAATGATGTCCTAGTGCAGATTAGGAAAGTCTATATTTTATTTTGAAAAGTAACCTTTTTACGCCTGCCTTTCTTTTCTTACGGTTCCTTTGATATGAAATGGTTCGATCTAGTACCTCAATTGACTGGAAGATCGATGTAATGAGAACGAATGGAATCATATTGCCACGAAAAAATTCTTCGCCGTTATTTCAGACAATTTTTTCAATTTTCCATCACGAATATCTCTTAAATCAATAGAGATAAAAACAAATGGACTTTAGATTCTTGTTCAGCACATCAAGAACACTCTGTATGCAAGTTTTCAGCCCATTCTGAAGCCTCGGAGTGCATGAAAAAAGTTGAAAGGGGTTTACCTTGTTTCTTTTTCAGACCCAAAAATCAAATTCATCATAGAGCCTTCAAATTCGTTATACAGGGACCTCAAGTGATGTCCTAGTGCGGATTAGGAAACTCTAGCTTTCATTTTGAAAAGTAACCATTTTTGCCTTTTGCAAAGGAGATAACCTTGATTCATTTTCAGACCACAAAAATCAAATTCATCATAGAGCCTTCAAATTCGTTATACAGGGTCCTCAAGTGATGTTCTTCGCCATCATTTCAACGATCTTTTAGACAATTTTTTCAATTGTTCATCACGAATATCTCTTAAATGAATAGAGGTAAAAACAAACGGACTTCAGACTCTTGTTCAGCACATCAAGAACACTCTGTATGCAAGTTTTCAGCCCATTCTGAACCCTCTATTTGTATGAAAAAAGTTCAAAGGGGTTAACCTTGTTTCTTTCTCAGACCCAAAACTCAAATCCATCATAGAACCTTCAAATTCGGTATACAGGGTCCTCAAGAAGTGCCCTAGTGCGCAGTAGAAGCACAGCTCGCTAGCTACCACTAGCACTGAACTTTTTTTTGATTGCAAATATCTAGGGCGCCAAAAGTGATACTACAGATAGGGTTCGACCTATCGAATCAAAAATGCAAAGGTCGTTTCCCCTAAAAATAAATTGAACCAAATATTCTAGAAAACCGTTCAATATTTACAAACTTACAGTCTACAATATTTACAAGATGTACATAAATCTACCTTCTGCCCCATTTTAATCAGTCCTCGTGCTTCGCCCTACAGTCTTCGGCATCTTCTTGTTTGTCGAATCCTCCAACTCCTTCTGCTTGTAATAATGCGGCGCCACCTGCCAAAATAAAAATTCAATTTGAAAAAAAAACATATTTTTGTAGCATAAAATATCGAAAGACTACCCAACAGAATAAAATCTATCAATCTCATTTGAAAGTGAATTGAAGAAATATATTTTATCAATTAATCTCTTCTTTATATTTCATTTTATTGGATATTCGATTTGTTCAATAATCTCTTCCTGCAACTGTCAAAAAAGCTACACTTTTTTAATATATTGTGTGTGCCTAAAGTGTTCAATTTCAATATCAACATACTGTTTTTATTATGTTACGGAAAAGTGTGGAAAACTACATATTTTTTCACGGATGTTGCTCGATGGAATGAATGCTTGCGTGGAAGGGGCCCATAGCCTGCATTGTTGGTAGGTTGTTTTGTTCGACGAACAAGCCTGTTCGAACAAATTTTGACGTAAAACCGAAGTGTGTGGCTGCAAAATGGTCGTTCTCGCTAGCCACACACCACACCCTACTTTTTTGCGTAATTTTTGATCGAACATACTTGTTCGACGAATAAAACAAACCACAAACAACGCAGTCTATGGGCTCCTTTACGGAATCCCAGCGAGCACAAACATCCCTGGGATGTTTTGAAAATGTTGGCATGAAGATGTTATTTTGAGACGTAATATGCACTGACCAAAGAGGTCTTTGAAGGATATTGAAGTATTGCTTTTGTTCTTCTGTTGCATTTCTTTTTTTGCCTACTGAGAGGTATCCCTGGGATGTTTTGGGATGTTTTAGAAATGTAGGCATGAGGATGTTTTTTTGGGGCGTAATATGCACTTTCCAAAGAGGTCTTAGAAGGATATTGAAAGTATTGTTTTTGTTCTTTTGTGCCCTTTCTTTGTTTGCCCCACCACAACGTCTCATGCTTACGTCACAATACGATGAATTCTGAATTCTGATTTGTTTTCGATTTTGTTCTTCTTGTTCGCGTTTGCAGCGTGTCACGCTTACATCACGCTACTAACGAACAGAAAGGAATTTGGTGAAGTTTATTGTGTTAGAAGACTTATTTAGTTTGTAATAATGACCATCAGATGCAAGATGTGTTGTTCGGTGCCTCAGTGTAATCGATATATAAAAGTACGAATTTATCAATACACAGCTTCTCCGGTAGTTGCAAAATTATGCATTGTGGAGAACATTTCAAAAATTGGTAAACCTATTTCCAATTATATGTCTGTGTGTAGTAAGCACTATTCAGAAACTGATTTAGAAGGTAATTTCATATCAAGATAATATTTTTATGTTCAATCTATTTTAAATGCATTTTTTCATTCAAGAGAAATGGAATCCTAATGCAAGAGTTCATTTTGACAAAAGGCTTCAGAAAAGTACCTCAAAAATGGTTTTTTACAGCGATTTAATGTGCGTAAGACGCGTTGAAAATGTTTTGTTGTGTCCATGAAAAGGCTTTAAAAAGAACTAGGGAGAAGGTAGTTTTGTGACATATCAAGGACATCTCGATAATTGCCGCCTGCGGCGGACATTGGCTGTTCTATGATAGTTCTATTCATGTGTGAACAGAACATGAACATTCAATGTCTCGAAATCTCGTACTTTTAACATCTCTGAGATGTTTTTGTGCTCGCTGGGATGCGGCAAGGCAGCAAGCGAACAAATCAAGGCGGCAGGCTTCCTATTTCGTATGGAGTGCCAGTGAAATAGAGATGGGAGCAAGAAGAAGGCGCCACGATATCCTCGCGAATTAGATAATAATATGCTCGCATCTCATGAATGATTTGATCAGCATCGCTGAACGCGAGCGGAATGAGCGATTTATTCAAAATTATTTAATGTACTCGATAATGATCGTGAAATATTTGGTCCTATTGCCATATTTTGGTCTGATCTTCTATCTGTCTAAGTCCCAATAGTTATGACTCACCATGTATTCAATTTTTACAAACTTTACAGTGAGAGATTCACGAAGTGGGCGACATCTAGGTTACATAATACGAACTTCAAACTGGGGGAAAACAAACTGTTGTCTGTGGATAAAGTGCATGGACTACATTGCATACAGCTTGCTGTAGCTGTAGTTGTCAAACTTGTCAATGACATAAAGTGAAAGTGTTGGCACTGTTGGTAGTGATGATGTGGGGATGATTTCATCGCCGAAGTTTGTACACAAAGTGCAAAAATGCGCCTTTTGTTGAAGTCTTCTGCCTCACACAAAATTACATGATTAGCATGGAAAACTGCTTCTCCTTCCACTACTGGTCGACTTTTTCCATCTCAATAGAGCAAAATATCTGCCAAAAGAACATCTACAACAGGCATTATCAGCGTTTTCGATCGAATATTGACAATTAATGTCAAGAAATTTAAAAACTTATTACTCTTATCAGTACACAGTACACAAGCTAATGGCACTAATGGGATTGAGTGAGGATTGAGTTTGTTTTCTCCCAGTTTTGACGTGGCTTTGAGATGGAACGATGAAAACCAAGCGCCACCTGGTAACATTGTTTCCCGCGAATACAAACCTAAGGGCCGGTTGCATAAAGAAAAATTAATCATACAATCAACTGATGCCACAACAACTTTGATGTTATGTTAAATGTCATTTGCGTTGCATAAACAATCTGATGTTATAATAATCATTCCATTTACTAATGACGAGAAGGGCGTGGCAACAGCGCTAAATCTGTCTGCTCCTTGTGTTCCGCGCATTGTTGATACGCATTTTAGGTTAGGTTTATTTGCTTGATTAACATTCAGATTGACAGAAGTTACAGAAAACCACCTGAATCGGGTATTGGAATCATTGCCATCATACATTTTAAACGGATTGTTTCTATTTCGAAAGGTTCTTACCTTGGAAATCAGTATAGTTCTTCTTCAGATAGTGAAGACAGTGATGAGATAGACATTTTCTGTAAAACCTATAATATTCATTCACTTACATTATTGTGTTGATTTACCTACTCTACCTGTTTGAAATGAAACAAGAACTAAGAAGAAGAAAAATTATGTGAAATATTCTAAATAATTTGGCAGAATTCTCACGTCATTTGCTGGTTTTCACTTTAATCAGTGGTCGAGCACTGATTAAGTTGATGTCATTAATAAGTCGATTTGATGTGACATCTCAAGTTGATTGGCCTTTGTGCAACCGATTTTTTAGTTAAATAGTCATTATTATAAGTTAATCAGATGATTGAGTAACCATGCCATTAAGTACATGATGGGCCTTTCATGCAATCGAATTCCATTTATAACGTCGCATCAAATATTTGAAGTGACATCAAATAATTGATGAGCTTTTATGCAACCGGCCCTAAATATTGGAAACTCCCACATAAAAAAAATCATGTATTCATCAATTTATTCATGTTTCTTGAGATCAATAAATGTTATTACCATTATTTTAATCATTATTATTATAATTACCTCCAACAACCACTTGCTCTCGATCTCGACGATCTGCCGCATAAACTCCTTCGTCGTGAACACCAACTCGTGGTACAACACCCATCTGGGCAGCTCCTCGAACAGCGAACTATTGGGATGGATGGTGACGGTTTGATTGTGCTTGACGGTTTTGTAGCTGCCGCCTTTGGAGAGTCGGGCGATATGGTAGAAATAGCCGGCCGTGATGGCTTTGCGAATGTCGACCGTTTCCGATGGGTTCGACACCATTTCGATTTCGACGCGTTGCATCAGCCCGACTATCTGCTCTCGCACGTCTCTCGCTCGTTTCATGGACCTGCCAAGAGAAATGCTCATTTAGACTATACCTTTTCAACTTCAATTTCGGAATCGGTAAGTTATATTTCGGAAAAAGTAATCTCGATTTCAGAATTGGTTAGTTCGATCTCAGAAATGATACACTCAATTTCAGAATCGGTGAGATGAATTTCAGAAAAAGTCCATACAATTTCAGAAATGGTAAGTTGTATTTCAGAATTGGTAGGTTCAATATCATAAAAAAATCCTTATATTTGTTCGAAATGTTTCCAATTGCATGTGAGATTAACAAACCATATTTAAAATATTCAACTTTTCAAAAACAATTTAATCCACAGATGCCTTCCATCTGAATCGCTGGAAGATAGTGGCGTTGCACATGATTATAAGAATGCAAACACATTTGAGGTTTTAACATGTTCATTGAATGATCTGCACATTCTTCAAGACATCGCAGTCTGAATTCTATCTGGTTGAGGAATCTGTTCGGATCTCCAGCTATGACCCTATGGCGATGCTCTTGCAAGAAGCTCTTCACTTCTGACTTGAAGGCACCCCATATATTATGTTCAATCTGATTCAACATAGGGCTCTCAAACACCGTTCCATCCACTGTAAACAGTCTTCTCTTTTGCAATTAAAAACATTTCGAACATATGAAAGGATTTCATCTTCTGAAATTGAACCAACCAATAATAATTCTGAAATACAACTTACCATTTCTGAAATTGAATGGACTTTTTCTGAAATTCATCTCACCGATTCTGAAATTGAGATTACTTTTTCCGAAATATAACTCACCGATTCCGAAATTGAAGTTGAAAAGGTATAGTGTTAGATATTTTGTAAATGTATTTTGATTGTTAATTATTTTGTACTGTCTTAAATTTATATCCAACTGTAGATTACTCATTGCTTGAGATTCAACTTGTTTTGTCTGATAAGAAACGTGTATTGTCGAATTACGTGAGCACAACCGCTACCGGTCGATTCATCGAAAGGCATTCGAGTTGTCGGATTGGATGGAGTCGCTCGGAATATTTGCCGTTCTGCTTTTGTTCAATCTCAACATTATAATTTTGAGAAATAAATTTGGTATATTGTGTTTGTGTGTGTGATAGCTATCCGTTCCCAAAAATCTAACACTAGCAATTTGTCATCTCTCTCTTTCACGCACACACACACTCCATATCACTCTCCTATATCACTCTCTTAGATCACTCTACTATATCACTCTCTAACATCACTCTCTTATACCACTCTCCTATATCACTCTCCTATATAACTCTCTTATATCACTCTCTTATATCAATGTCCTATATCACTCTCCTATATCACTCTCCTATATCACTCTCGTATATCACTCTTCTATAAACTCCCTTATATCACTCTCCTATATCACCCTCTTATATCACTCTCCTATATTCCTCTCCTATATCACTCCTATACCACTCTCTCATATCACTCTCCTATATCACTCTCCTAAATCACTCTCATATACCACTCTCTAATATCACTCTCTTATATCACTCTACAATATCACTCTCTTATATCACTCTACAATATCACTCTCTTATATCACTCGCCTATATCACTCTCCTATATCACTCTCTTATTTCACTCTCTTATATCACTCTCTTATATCACTTTCTTACATCACTCTCTTATAACACTCTCCTATATCACTCTCTCATATCACTCTCCAATATCACTCTCGTATATCACTCTTCTATAAACTCCCTTATATCACTCTCCTATATTAAAATATTGGTGGACGATGCCTATATCACCCTCTTATATAACTCTCTTATGTCACTCTCTTAGGTCACTCTCTTATATCACTCTCGTATAACACTCTCCTATCATTCTCTTATATAACTCTCCTACATCACTCTCCTATAACAATCTCTTATATCACTCTCTTATATCACTCTCTTATATCACTCTCTTATATCACTGTCGTATATCACTCTCTTATATCACTCTCTTTTATCACTCTTCTATGGCACTGTCCTTCTATCTCGCTCCTTTAACATTATGACGAATTGTTTCAACGTTTACGTTCTAGAACGCCAAAATTTAGCGTTCTAGAACAAGAAAGAGCCACTTTGCTGACATTTCAACGAAAATGTAATTAATCAATGACAGTTTTCGAAAAATAATTTTTTGTTCATTTCGTACTAGTTTTCACAAAATGAATTCACGAAGAAATGCCCCTGATTGAATACAACAAAAAACCGCGCCAGCTTAACTGACGTCACAAGTACTGTAACCATCTGAACAAATCTGTGAAGTGAATCACTAAAGAGTATTTGACGGAATAAATAAACTACTCAACACTAATTTCGTCGCACACCAAAATGTCGCCCCTGTTATAATGTGAATACCTTTTTTCAGTTTGAAACAATTTGAATCTGGTTCACACTGTTCGATAGCCCAGTCCTTCAGCTATAATCTGGTACTTCATTGAAACATAAGGGTATTCACATAAAATCTCTACATGGTGTTTTCCGACATTGTGCAAAATTTCGGAATAATCAAAAGGCTCTCAAATGATGAAAAAAATTTTTTTCTCAACTTCGACAACAGAGGCGTGAAGATGATCTCATTATCTCGAGATATTTCGCGAATCAACTTCCTATCTCTCTTATTTACAGAGTGATCTCAAAAAATCAACTTTTTGGTTTTACAGCCATAACTTTTTTCCACGTCAACCGATTTTGGAAATCTTAGGCTCATTTTGAAGATAAAACTTCAGATGAAGAGATCTGAATATCAGAATTGACTTTAAATGGCTATCAAAGATCTAGAGTTTTCTTGAAAGTGACCCAAATCTGGAACGCCCTCCGAATCTCGGTTGGGAGGAGAATTGAATGAAAATCAACTTGTTCTCGGAAAAACAATTCATTCTGGATGCGTCCATATTTTCCTCGCTCTCAGTAGTCAAGAATTGTGCGTGAGAAAACACAATTGAAACATGTTCTTGCAGAAACATCAGACCATTTCTCCTCTGTAATGCATGGCCCGTAACCAACGTTACAAGAATCACAGTAAGTGACTGACAAGTCAGGTTAGACGTCGTTTTCGAATCATAAACAGATTTTGATAGTTTCGATGCCGCATCTAACGCCCGACCAGTTTGAACTGATTCCACAAATGAGGGAACAAGGGTTATCTTCCCTCCAAATCGCGGATCTGCTAAACACGACAGTCCGATCCATTCAAAGGGCTTATCTTCGAGCTAATGCTGGGGATATTTTGTACCAGTCGAGGGGGCCAAGAAAGGGAACAACAAAGAAAACCACTCCTGCTCAAGACCGCCTCATTGGGAGAATTGTACGGCGAACCCGGACTTCAACAGCCTCCAAAATTCGTCGGGATTTGATCGAGGCTACTGGTGTACAGGTTTCTACTCAGACAATCCGACGCCGTATCCACGATCTTAGATTACAAGCAAGGAAACGAGCAGCCTGTCCCTTATTGAAACCTGTACACCGAGAGGCAAGGCGATTGTGGGGACAAAGACATCAAAACTGGGGAATAGCAGAGTGGAATAGGTGTATGTTTAAGGATGAGAGTAGGTTCAACTTGTTTCGCAAAGATGGGCGTGTGTTGGTATGGAGAGGAAGAAATGAAAGGTTTATGGAAGAGAATATGGAGGCAAGGGTGGCTTTTGGAGGTGGAGGAGTGACTGTGTGGGGTGGAGAGAGTATGAACGGTGAGAGGTATAGAGATTTGTGTGTGAGATATCGTGGTCCCTTACGCTGCAAATGTGGGTGACAACTTTGTTCTCGTTGATGACAATGAGAGACCGCATAGGGCTCGCATTGTCAGCGAGTTTTTGAGGGATCACGGCATTGAGCGAATGAACTGGCCGCCTATGTCTCCAGATATGAATCCGATAGAGCATGTTTGGAGTCGTATGAAACTGAAATTGAAATAAAGAGAAGAGCGAATGGAAAGTTTGGATGACTTGGTGAATGCGGTACAGCGAGAATGGACAGCTATTCCTCAGGAGTTTGTTGATAGGCTGATAAACAGCATGAGATGGGTGAGATTGTGAGTTGTGTTTTTGAAAAGACGTTTCACGAGTTCCTCACCTATACTGGATGAAGTTCTCGTAACACCATTGCGTGGAATAATCCGAGTCCCTCCATTGATTGTAGACGTTCAGCAGACTGAGATGGTCGCCACCGGGATGATTGAAGTTTTTTCTGGCCGTGTCTGCGTGGATGATTTTGTCTTTCGGCCGATAAAATATCGCCCCGTTCACAGACAACATGGCGCAAATCGACACCACCTCCTCAGCGCATTTGTACCTAATGAACGAAACATACAATGAACAAAAAATAGATCAGAAATAGTTATTTATGTATCAAGGGCGTGAAGTAGGCGTTTATGGCCTGTGGCGTGAATAATGGCCCGATGGCGTTAGCCGAGGGCCATTACACGCTGAAGGCTATAAACGCATATTACGCACGTGATACATACAACATTTTATGCACTAGTGGTTCATTTTCCGAGTCACAAGTAATGACTAGATTTCAACAAACTACAATTCATATGGTACTCATAAATTCAGTTTTCAAGAGAAGCGCAATGTTTATGTGTATAATCTACATATTGAAATTACCGTACGAATATCGCAATTATCGTAAGAGTAAAACTCTTTGTTCACTAACAGAGATTCATTCCTTGAGATGTAACAATATGTATAACCAGTATATAGCTACCTAAATTTGACGTTGTCAATCAATCTGATGATTGCTGTCTAGCAATACATCCAAAAAACAAGCTGACATTATCATCTTTTGGCTAATAACTTCAGACAGCCAGAAAGCAACTATTCAAAGGGGGGCGTTATAGCGAAGGTGGAATCGGATGAACAATAACATGTATCATAATCATAACGATAGAATCAACTGAGAGTTCAAATATAGGTATTCCACAAACGGATGTGTGGATATAAGAGAGTTGAGAACAGCGGGCGATAAAGTGCACTTTATGGCCCGTGGACGATAATGGGCACGCGAGCGGTAAAATACCACTTTACGCCCGCAAATCTGGGCGATAAAGTGCACTTTACCGCCTGCTAGTGCATAAAGGTTTTATTCTAATGGGCTAGTTCTTCTGAAACTATACCCGGTATAATTTATGACATCAGACATGATGATGAAAATCGGTACAGGTATATTTCAAGTGGTGCTGATTCAGAATCCATCATCAAGTTTCGTGGAAAAAAATCCCTAATAGTACTTTCTGGAATATGGGTCATTGAAATTTGTCGCAGTTGGCCACGATAACAGTCCAAGAATTAGATCACTCTCTCGTTGGATGGGCATTTCAAATACCTATCCAACAAAAAAAGGATTTTTGAAATTGGTCAGATAATAACATTTTTACAGGGGTGGTAAGACCTTAAGGTTGACACACTGTAGATGATCTTCCTCAACAAGTAAATACCCTGTACATACCTATTATTAAAATTTTGAATGATTTTCTGTAGCGCCCACGGATGTGACGTGACAGCAATGTCAGGGATGCCAGTAGACAAAACTAAAGTCTCTAGATCATTAAAAAAGAATGCAGCTATGATCTGTCCGTACCCTGTTAAGATGACTTTAACGTCAATTTCTATCAAGGGACCTTATTTAAAGTGAAACAGAAAGAGTTCCACCTACTTCTCAGAAGCCAACAGCATCTTCGCCATCATCGGATCCACAGGAAACTCCGCCATCCGTCTCCCCAACTTCGTCAACTCCCCGTGATGATTCAGCGCCCCCAGAGCGTAGAGTTGCTCCAAGGCCAACACGAGCGTCTCGTGCGGCGGCGGATCCAGAAAATCAAAATGGACCAGATCGTTAATACCGAGTGCTTTCAGCATCAGCACCGCGTTACCCAAGTTGATGCGTTGAATTTCGGGGATGGTGTTGTCTTCGAGTTCGTGCTTATACGACCAAGCGGTATACAACCTACAAACAGTTTGAAAATCCCACTTACTACCTGCCTCCCAAAAATAAATGCGACATATTAAAATAACTACGAAATAGTCAGCCAGTGGCGGTTCGTGACTTTCATGACAGAGGAGGCTGAATGATATGAGATTTATTGTGAAAAACAATTCTCTACTCACCCAAATCAATAGCTTTAATGACATTCTGTTCACCAGTTAACCTGAACTTAATACTTGTAGAGATGTGTGCTGTGATTCGCAGTGTCTATCCAATCCGCGAGGCAAATTTTCCAAATCATTATATCCTAATCGCCCCCAACATGATGACTTATCGGTTGAAAATAATACGCAGTACCAACAAAATAACTTATTCCTTACCTCAGATCCCGTCAACCAAATATATTTTTTATAATCATCAGAATTGAACGAACGATTTTGTTTATTACCTGTCACAATCAGATTTTTTAATTCCGGTGTCGGACGTTTGTTTATCACAATCAATTCATCTTCATAAGACAAAGCACTGAATGGGCTCCACAAAAAGTATTCCACTGAATCGCAATCGTTTAAAACACTCATTTTTCAGAAATTTATAGAGCCTCTAACCATTAACCTAACATAAACATAAACAATGCACTCGCGCTGGATTGTCCGCAATTCGCGACGCGACACGACAGACACGTGCTATTCGGGCGTATTCGGGCATTTGCATTGCGCGCGTCGGTTGCGCCTTGTGAAGAAGTCTAGCCACCTATAGATGTTGCCAAGTTGAATATTTTACGCGTGATTTGCAGACTTCAATGTGTGATGCGTGGGCAAGCACTGTTGCCAATTCAAAAATATTTACCTAAAAACAGGAGATAAAATCAAAATCCATGTTTTTTGGTGTCCTTTCAATGAGAAAGTATAGATAATATCAGTTCAAGGAAAATGAGGAGCTCAGCTCAGCCTCCGTTGCCTCCTCTGAGGAGCCACCAATGACAGCAATGGTAGATTTCGGGAGAAATACAACTACTTTCCTGGCTAATGCCACGCAGAACATTGAATTAGATCCTCCCGAAATCTATGCATCGACTTTTCATTCCACTTTGGGCATTGTGGCTATTTCGTAGTTGAAATTACGCCAGTCGGGCAACCAGCCACTCCCGTATGAGATTTTCAGTTTTGGAGTGATTCTTTCCTTTCTACTCAGATGGCGTTACTTTCATATTGTCGATGAAAGAGGCCTCGGGGGGAATATAATGCCGACTTGAATTTTGTTTGGCTATGTTTCGCTGAGTCGGCGGTCTTAGGACTGCTGGCTGGAGACTACACTGCACTGATGAGAGTCAAAGAGCTCGAAACCGGTCTGTGGTTGTCTAGCGTGGCCTGGCTAAATGGAAATCAATAGGCATTCAGGAAAGAATCACTTGTATCAGTATTCGTTTATACGAGTCGATGCATTGATCTCGGGAGGATGTAATTCAATGTTCTGCGTGGTATTAGCCAGGAAAGTAGTTGTTTTCTCCCGAAATCTACCATTGTTGTTCACTTCATGAACATTGTGTGGAAATTACTTTGAGCTTTTTGTATTTTGCGTATATTGGCGGCAAATCGACCGTTCTCGGCTTAAATATACCTGAAACATTTGCCAGCTGCCACTCGGCCCGCCCGGCCCGCTCTCTGATTGGCCGACGCTTTGGAAATCGGCACCACCATCAGACTCTCCATGCCCGTCCTCGAGTTGAAGTGGTTCTGTTTGGCGAAACCGGGATCGATGACGTAGATGATGTTGTCGATGGTCAAGGAAGTTTCGGCTATGTTCGTGGCCAAGACGACCTTTCTGGCGCCTGGAGGGGTCGGTTCAAAAATTTTCGCCTAAAAACCGGATGAAAAAATAGTCCAGCTGGTGTCAATATATCTTCAGTGCGAATTGCTGGTAGTGCGCTATTCCCTACTTCTTTCCTTTTCAAAAAGACCTCACCGATGAGTGCCTTGTACAGGGTGGCCAACTAAGACTCCAGAGTTCGATTTATCTGTTGTCTTGAGAGATACAAAAAGAATTCATGAATCGAAATTGAAGTCATAACCGAGCTCCACATTTCAAAATCACTTTGAAATACACAGGGTGTTCCGTAAGGTCACAGCACATCAAAGCAATGTTTTTTTCATTGGAACACCCTATATTTTATTTCACTTTTGAATTCTCCCTGAAGATCTGATTCCAACGACCCATCATACTTAGGGTCTAGCAGTGAAAGTTCCTGAAATATAGGGTGTGCAAAATCGAGATTTTCCAAGTTCAGGATTTTTTTCTGTCGAAACTGTTCATTATTTGTCAAAACGGTTTACATGTCCCTATCTTAACTTTTCACTCACTATTAATTGGTGTTCAATTGAAATTGATACAAGGTGGTCAAAAAATCTAAATTTATAATTTGTTTCAATTGAATGTCAATTGAACACCAATTGATAGTGAGTGAAAAGTTGAGATAGGGACATGTAAACCGTTTTGACGAATAATGAACAGTTTCGCCAGAAAAAAATCCTGAACTTGGAAAATCTCGATTTTGCACACCCTATATGTCAGTTACTTTCACTGCTAGACCCTAAGTATGATGGGTCGTTGAAATCAGATCTTCAGGGAGAATTCAGAAATGAAATAAAATATAGGGTATTCCAATAAGAAAAACATAGATTTGATGTGCTGTGACCTTACAGAACACCCTGTGTATTTCAAAGAAATTTTGAAATGTGAAGCTCGCTTATCACTTCAATTTGAATGCAAAACTTTTTTTTGTATCTCTCAAGACAACAGAGGTATCGAGCTCTGGAGTCTTAGTTGGCCACCCTGTACAATAAATTGAACGCATACATAGTCCACTCAACAAACTAATCACCGCTGGCTTCGATATTCAAGGCTATGCGGATGACATTGTCATAATAATAAGAGGCAAGCATGATAGGATTTTATCAAACCTAATGCAGAATGCACTCAACTTGCTGAAAGACTGGTGCTTTCAGGAGGGCTTGAATGTCAACCCAAGCAAAACGGTCATCGTTCCATTCACTAAAAGAAAGAAGAGCAAGATAAAGGAACCCATTATGGATGGGACGCCTATCAATTTCTCCGAAGAGGCCAAATATCTAGGAGTAATCCTAGACAAGAAACTCACGTGGAACCAACACTTGACCAAAATCGTCAATAAGGCAATTTCAGCTCTCTGGATATGCCGAAAGATGTTTGGCCAAACGTGGGGTCTTAAACCAAATATGATCTACTGGTCTTATCTCACGGTGATCAGACCCATGGTCACATACGCTTCTCTAGTCTGGTGGACCAAAAGTAAGGAAAAACAGCACAACTTAAGCTGCAAAAAATCCATAGACTCGGGTGTCTTGGGATCACAGGGGCTATGCGTACGTGCCCTACTGCAGCAATGGAAGCTATGCTTGACCTACTACCCTTGCATATTTTTATCAAGAGGACTGCAGCTCTCAGTGCATACAGACTGAACTCCACTGAATTGGCCAGACCAGGTGATGTCACTGGTCACATGGTCATTCTACAAGAAGTACAAATGGAATCTGCAACCAAACCATCGGACATAATGCCAGCCAGGCTCAGTTTCGATCATACCTTTGAAGTGGTTATAAAAAGCCGCCCTAGGTACGGTTCCAATGAGCCTCAGCTGGACAGAGGTTCCCTTGTTTGGTACACCGATGGTTCGAAGAAGGGGTAGGCGCGGGTGTATATGGACCCGGATGTAGGCTATTTGAAGCCTTAGGTCACTCCCCCACTATCTTCCAAGCTGAAGTACATGCCATCAAAACCTTTGCGCCCAAAGTTGCCTGAGCAAAGGTCTGAGGGGTGCCAACATATGTATCCGCTCAGACAGCCAAGCCGCACTAAAAGCCCTAAAATCATTCGTTTTCACATCAAAGATTACATGGGACTGCTTTGAAACACTCATGCAACTGGTAAAGGGCAACAAAGTCACACTTATGTGGGTTCCAGGGCATGAAGGAATCAAAGGAAATGAGGCAGCTGATCGCCTTGCAAAAAAAGGTGCAGCATCTGCACTATTTGGTCCTGAGCCTTTTTGTGGGATAAGCAAATGTCACCTGAAGGGAGAACTCGGGAAATGGGAAGAAATTGAAAAGTCCTCCTACTGGAGAGTAAGTCCAGGTCAACGACAAGCGAAAAGGTTCATCAACCATTCGCAGAACCGAGCCAAAGAGCTACTCAGCCTCAGCAAACCAGAGCTAAAGCTTATCACAGGCTTTCTCACAGGACACGACCCTCTGAGGTACCACCTCAAATAGATGGGTCTGGCGGAGACTGACACTTGCCGATTTGTAACAATGCGACCGAAACCGCGGAACACATACTCTGCTCATGTGAAGTATTAGTCCGCCAAAGGCTGAACCACCTAGAACAGGTCTATCTCACCCCTGATGAAGTGGAAAAGTCAACCGTCAGGAAAATCGTAGGCGTCATCAGAAGTCTAGGGTTAGAGGACCAAAACTAGATAGGGGTAATCACAATAGATCTTCTAGCTCGCAGTGATCGAGAGGTCTCTCAGCCTATACGACCCATCTACAATCTACAATCTAGTCCACTTGAAGAAGCTACGAACCTCATCGTTTGTGAAGGATTTTTAAATTTACTATGGACTTCCATCAAATAAAGGCCGAGTCAGAACATTTTTTCGGTATTTTCACTCGTCTTCAACATTTATTTGAGGAAAAAAGTAGGGGGTGGCGCATTCCCTACAACTCCTACTGTTTTGTATCTCACTAAAAAATCTTTCTACTTTTGTCAGCACTCTATGTTTATTTCATGTATCCTTATGATCATTAACGAATGAATGGGATGGCATATACCTCACAACACCTATTTTATATTTTATAGAAAAATCTATATACGTTTATTAACACACGCTTTTGAGATTATCTTTTACATTTGTTGATGCATAAACGCATTCACATAAGAAAAGGAGTGGGAGTAGCTCATTGCGTGAAAGCCCTACTACTTTTATTTCAAAAGAAATCATTTTGAATGAGTCAGTGACCTCATCGATATAAGTGACACAACAAACAGTAATGCCACAGCCGTCTTCAACTATCAAGCCGTGCTGAGATAATGGCAACGTCGCACGAACGGAAACCGTCGGTCCCATTCGCGCCTAGCAATACAATGGTTTTTATATGAGCGCGAGCTTTGAATGTTTGGTTTAACGTAATTTTCTAGGATTATTTTGTCGAATAGGTAAAAAATACACGAGAGTGAACTTACAGAGTGAAGAACGAGGAATAATGTGGTCATGAACTGAAGCCGTAATTTTGAGTATTTTGATAAGATAAAACTTATGGAATTTTTCATTCATATCTGAGTGTTTGTCAGTTTGATCTGAGATGTTTTTGAATCTAGCTAGAATATTTTCAAGTTGTGACCATCTATTCAATTTCATATCTTGGGTAAGAATCCATTTCAATTCATTGAAACCAAGTTTATTATCACCAAGAAAAACTTGGACCTCCACCTCATTGGGATAAAAAACATTTGCTTGCAAATCTAATTCATAAAAATACAATTTTTCATCAGTCTTATTGATTTTCCAAGTATCAATTTTTACTCTCTCAACATATTCCCTAACTAACTGTTCATAGTTGTGGATGAGGTCTGATTTTTCAAACTGTTCTATTATATTACTTTGAATATCTAAATATTTCTGACGTCTTTCATTTGGATCAGTTCTTTATGGTTTGGCTGGTTTTGAAAAATATTTTGGTTCATTTGGAAAAATCGAAGGAACTGCTGTTTTGACTAACTTTGGTGCTCGTAACAAATTTTTTCCAATTGATCCATCTTAATCCAGTACGTGGGTATCAAAAAGGGGTGTTTGAATGCAAAAGGTGGGGTAGTAGCGATTTTTTGGTATGTTGTTAAGCTTGTTGCCCTTATGAAAAATCCGAGTTTTCGACCTTGAGGCGCATGCGCTCGAGCCGCCATCTTGGATTTTAGGTACAAAAATTTGGTTTTTTAATAATAACTCAAGAACGGTGGCTCACACGACAAAATATGTTCCCAACAATATTAAAGAAGACAAAATTTCCAACATTTTCTATGAAAAAAAATTTTTTTAACACACATATGTTATGAGTTACAGCTTCGTTAAGTTGCATTATTTGAAAAAAGAAGTATTTCATTTTGTTATTTGGCTGTTAATAACTTAAATAAATAATTTAAACAAATGCAAATCACATTGAAATGGTTCTTAAAGAGATTCTACTTCAATTATGTAATTATAGGTTGCCCAAAATCTTAACTGATAGGCAGATATCGAGAGCACAGCTGCTCTCTAGTAAGTATTGAAAGAGAGTAAATGACAGGTGCCACAAAAATGAACACGCCGCTTTTCCAGGCATGCGCAGTGGATCAAAGAATTGAGGGAGAGATTTTCCTGAAGTGCGATTTGCTTCTATCTACTTCCGTAAACCTGGAAGAGAAAAAACTGCTGAGAGGATATATTCAGCAAGTAGCTTCAAATACGAAGAAGCAACCAAGCACATTCTGTTCTTGCATGCCTTCAGTGGTTGTGACACTACGTCATTCCTATTCAATCAGGAAAAAACTAAATTTTGTACGCTGATAGAAAAAAACAGAGCGGTTCATGAAACAATTGAAATTTTCAACAAACAAGCAGATGCCACGCCAGAGGAGATTGCCGAGACCGGAGTACGCTTTCTTGTAGCATTATATGGTGGCAACATGGATAAAGAGAGTTTGGAAGAGATTCGTTTTCAACGCTTCGCCAAATCTACGCTAAAAACCAAATTTAATCTTGCCTCTTTGCCACCTACTAAAGACGCGGCGAAATTCCACGCCTTCAGGACGTACAACCAAGTACAGAAATGGAGAGGCATTGAGAAAAATCCTGAAAACTGGGGTTGGAAGCATGGCGCTTACGGGCTCACTCCCATAACAATGGCAAAAAAACAGCTCCCGATTTATTATTAGAATCGGTATCTTGCAACTGCAAAAAAGGGTGTGGTGGGGCATGCAGCTGCCGAAAGGCTGGACTCAAATGTTCGGTTGTATGTGGCTTCTGCAACGGAGAATCTTGCGGAAATATGCCGGAAATCCGCATTGAAAGCGCGGACGAGGATGAGGAAATTTTTCAGGATACGAACCAAAACTACGACCAGGACACAGATAAGTACGACCAGGACACCGACTACTACGACCAAGACACAGACAATAACCAACCCGGACCATCGAAACGTACAAAATGTAGTAAAAATTAATTTTTGTAACGCTCTAAAAACCTAATTTACTATTCTTGAATTTTAAAAAAAATCGATATACTTTTCGCCTTCAACTTTGTTCACGAAAAGTATAATACTGTTAAATGATGATATTCGAGTGCCTTCCAGTTTTTTTATTATTATATGATGAGAAAAATAAAATAAAACTCAACCAAAATGAAGTTTCCGCATTTTTTTGCAAATAATGAAACTTCACTGAGCTGTAACTCCTTACATGTGTGCTATAAAAAAAAAATTCACCAAAAAAAATTCAGAAAATTTTGTCCTCTACAACTTTGTTCAGAACATATTTTGTCGTGAAAGCCACCGTTTTTGAGTTATTATCAAAAAACCAAATTTGTGTACCTAAAATCCAATATGGCGGCTCGAGCGCATGCGCCTCGAGGTCGAAAACTTGGATTTCCCATTAGGGCCCCAAGCCTAACAACATACTAAAAAATCGCTACTACCCCACCTTTTGCATTCAAAAAACCCCCACGTACTGGACTATCTGGCAGAGGGAATGTATCATACCTGATACTACATACTGCAGAAGTTGAGATGGTGTCCAGTTTTTTCGAGGTATTGCTGTTATCCACTTACTTCGCAATTCTTCCCCTTTTGGGAATAAAAAAACTGAGACATGATCCTTTCCCAGCTGGCACACAACAATGAGAAGACATATTTTATAAGGAATAATGAATTACTTACTTATTTCCAGGAGTAAATTGAAAAAAAACAACACAAATTACCTTGCAAATACACCAGCACTAGTACACTTCACTATAACCTCCAATTTAACACAATTTTGAATGCACTTGCCACATACTTTCAGTCTCGAGTCGATTCCTAGATTGTTGCTAATACTTTTAAAATTATTTGATCTCAATATTACCCCAATAAATAATTGAAAACTTGAACAAAACCTTCCATAGACTCCTTGTTTACTTCCTACAAACTTCCTACACAATACACTTTGAATGGCCGACAGGTGCACGTTCGGTCGTTCGGACAATGTTGCCAAGTTCATTCTTCATGGCTGTCAATTGAAGACGGCTGTGGTAATGCTAATCATTCGTAAAAGCGTTAGTACACTTCATGAGTCTTGTCAAACTGAATTTCAAGATTCGTTAGAATTTGCATCAAGAGGTTGGAAAGAGATGGTATCAAGAGCGAACAAAACCGAATATTTTGCGAACCTGCATATCGCTCGGCAAATTGGCGTAGACCGGCAATATCAGCAGCTCCTTGACTTTCGAGCCGAGCCTCCTCAAGCGGTCCTGCAACAACTCCTGGCAAGTCTCGATCTCATCTTGACCGGTCAAAAATACGAGAATATCCCCGAGAGCCTGTAACATATTTTCAAAATATATCCAGCGAAAAATAACAACAGATATACCCCGATGTGAGTTCCTAAGCGTTCCTGTGTATATCGTTGTTGTTGTTAGACTGTAACTTCAAAAAGCCAAGTGAGTATGAACTCATATATTATGCCTTCATGTGAATTGACTGCCAAAGTACAGAGTGATTCACCATGAATGTCCCCCAATCTAGCTCAGTTATTTTTTAATCAATAGCAAAATTTGAGGCATCATTTAAATTAATTCTTGATAAAAGTTTTTTTCGGCTACATCAGAAAATACAGGGTGCTCGGAACAAACGATCTACAGGGTACTAGTTGATTTTTTTCAAATGAAACATCCTATATTTCATTGCATTTCTAGATTCTCCCTGAAGAGCTGATCTCATCAATGTATCACACTAGGACTCTAGCGTTAATGATTACAGAGATATTGGGTGTTCAAATCGAGATTTTTCAACTCAAAGATTTTTTTCTGTCGAAGCTATTCATTGAACCACCCTGTAGGGTTCCGATTGAATGTCAATAGATAGTAAATCAAAAGTTGTGATAGGGACACATGACTTGTTTTGACCAATAATGAATAGTATGGACACAAAGTTGAAAAATCTCTATACCTCCATAATTATTCCCGCTAGACCCCAAGTGTGATGCATTGATGAAATCAGCTCTTCAGGGAAAATATAAAAATGAAATGAACTACAGGGAGTCCCATTTCGAAAAATCAACTAGTACCCTGTAGATCGTTTGTTCCGAGCACCCTGTATTTTCTGATGTAGCGGAAAAAACTTATTGAAAAATCATTTCAAATGATCCCATAAATTTTGCAATCGGTTAAAAAATAACTGAGCTAGAAGGGGGGACATTTATGGTGAATCACCCTGTACCAACAGGTAAACCTCTATGTGAATCCGTACTGCAAGGTACGCTTAAATATCTCTTACCATGAGAAAGTAACAAAAAATTCACATTACACTTATTCAAAACCATCTGGACCTCAATTATTCACCGTTGTTGAATTTGTTTTTTAGTAGGCAATGTTTCCATTATTTCCGTTCAAAATGCACAGAAACAAGTACAAATGATTTGGTGTTCTCATCCATTTTCACGAGCTAGAGTTATTTTCCAAGTTGAGAAATATTAAAATATTGATAGAGCCTTGCCACTACTTACATGTTATGTACAGGGTGATTGTTTATATTTTACTTATAATAGCTTTCTCAGTTAATATTGTTCTTACAAAAATGTTTGAAAAGGGCAGAAGTGGAGTATTTTTACGAGCATTCAGAATTTGGTGCAAGAAAATACAAAAAAAAAAAAAGAATCGTAAACCTTGAAATTTCACATAACTGGTATTTTTTTACATAAAGCATTTACCAGATGATTAAATATCTGATTTGTTTGTATCCATAGCAACGTCTAACTTAGCTGATGAGTTAAAAGAGTTGATTCCTCGTTAAGTTAACAGAGAGCTTTATACAACCAGCCCTAAGGCAGCTGTAGAATGTCAGAAATTGTCGTCTGGCATTCTACGCCTGCCATAGATCTAAGAAAGCGATATTTTTCATAAACTGACAAGATATAACCTCAATAAAGTATATATATTTGAAATCAGAAGAAATAGCCCTACCGTTTAGAAACATAAGAATCAGGGTGTTTCATTTGAAAAATAACAGTTTAAGTAGAATTTCTAGTTGATACTATTGCGTAGTATGTACAGGGTGATTCACCATAAATGTACCCCCCCTCTAGATCACTTATTTGAGCCGATTTGAACATTTTAAAAATCATCCAAAATGATTTTTCAGAATTTTTTCCTGTTCATCATAAAATACAGGGTGCTCGGAACAAACGATCTACAGATTTTTGATTTATCCAAATGGAATGTATGTATGTATGCATGGAATGTATTTCATTGTATTTTCAGATTCTCCCTGAAGAGGTGATTACATCAATATATCACACTTGGGGTGTAGCGGGAATGATTACAGAGATATAGGGTGTTCAAAATCGAGATTTTTCAACTTAAGGATTTTTATTCATTATTGGTCAAAACGGCTTGAATGTCCCTATCTCCACTTTTGATTCACTATCTACTGACATTTAATTGGAACATATACAGTGTGGTTCAAGATTCAGAATTCTGATCACTCTGTATCTGTTCCAATTATTAAATGTCAGTAGATAGATCAAAAGTTAAGATACGGACATGAAAGCAGTTCTCGATTTTGAACACCCAATATCTCTGCTATCATTTTCGCTAGACCCCACGTGTGATGCATCGATCAGCTCTTCAGGGAGAATCTAAAAATACAATGAAAAAAAGGAGGGTTCCATTTGAAAAAATCAAATAATACCCTGTAGATCGTTTGTTCCGAGCACCTTGTATTTTCTGATGTAGCGGAAAAAAAACTCTATCAATAATCATATTAGATGAGAGAGAATAATCTTTATTGTCTAAAATGTATTACATTTCGTCGACAAAGGTTTAACATATACAGAGTGGGCCTTTGAAAACGAAACAGAGGCTCTGTAGGTCGCCAAAACCGGATAATCAAAAAAAACTGAAACAGGTCAACTACATTTTCGAGGGGGACATCTTTCTAAAATATTTTCAGCCCTGCGGCGTTGCCGCTTCTAAAGAAAAGAAGCAACAACTTTGTTATTTCAAATGGAACACCATGTATTTTATTGTATTTTTAGATTCTCCCCGAAGAGCTGATTTCATCAATGCATCACACTTGGGGTCCAGCTGTAATGGTTTCAGGGATATAAAGTGTTCAAAATCGAGATTTTTCAACTTTAGCATTTTTTTGTGTCGAAACTATTCATTATTGGTCAAAACGGCTCTCATGTCCCTATCTCAACTTGTGATTTACTATCTACTGACATTTATTTGAAACAAATACAGGGTGGTTCAAGATTCAGAATTCTGATCACCCTGTATCTGTTCCAATTAAATGTTAGTAGATAGTAAATCACAAGTTGAGATAGGGACATGAAAGCCGTTTTGACCAATAATGAATAGTTTCGACACAAAAAAATGCTAAAGTTGAAAAATCTCGATTTTGAACACTTTATATCCCTGAAACCATTACAGCTAGACCCCAAGTGTGATGCATTGATGAAATCAGCTCTTCGGGGAGAATCTAAAAATGCAATAAAATACAAGGTGTTCCATTTGAAATAACAAAGTTGTTGCTTCTTTTCGTTAGCAGCGGCAACGCCGCAGGGCTGAAAATATTGTAGGACGATGTCCCCCTCGAAAACGTAGTTGACGTGTTTCAGATTCTTTTCATAATCCGGTTTTGGCGATCTACAGAGCCTCTGTTTCGTTTTCAAAGGCCCACTCTGTATATAAAAAACAAACTATTGTAAAAGAAACAAGACTAAAAAAATATTTACACAAAGGGTATAATACGATACGGTACACACGTGCTTTCACAACTACAGTTGTATATGATGATATTTAAAATTTTGCAATCGGTTAAAAAATAACTGAGCTAGAGGGGGGGACATTTATGGCGAAGCACCCTGTGCGTTTTTTGCTCGAGGTGCTCCAACTGACATTGGATAGGGAAATACACTACTTTTACTAGCCTGAGTGACGTGGATCTGTAGAACGGAGACGACGCAAGCGTCCACATAGTCCGCCTCGGGCGCCTTCGTGTAGTAAATGTCGACGGGGAACCGTCTGCCGGGTATCTGGAACATGGGCGCGTCGTCGAAGAACTCCGAGAACTTGGCCACGTCCAACGTGGCGCTGGAGATGAGCAGCTTCAGGTCGGGCCGGAAGCGGGCGATGTCCTTCACCAGGCCGAACAGGATGTCGGTGTGCAGGGTCCTTCAATATCAACGATAGGTTAACCATTGTCGTTCTAAATGACAACCTAGTTAAGTAGTTCACGTTCACCGATTCAAATGTCCTCTAGAGTGAATTGTTAATATTAGTCTCATTAAAAAAACTTAAACCCAAATTAACTAGCGGACCTGACAACATCCCATCTTTCGTCTTGCGTGATTGCGCAGCTGCCTTCGTGAACCCTCTTCGTACGTTATTCAATTTATGTCTCTCAACTAATACTTTTCCTACACTATGGAAAGAATCGAAAATTATATCGGTCTATAAGAAGGGGCCTAAATCAGACATTTGCAACTACCGCCCTATAGTAATTATTAATAATTTTTCAAAATCTTTTGAAATTCTTCTCTACGATGAAATCAATTCGCACGTTAGAAATCAAATTACCCATAGTCAACATGGTTTCTTCAAAGGAAGGTCAACGGTCACAAATTTAGTTTGCATCACAGAGAAGTTATCTGATACCATTGATGATAGCTCTCAATGTGATGTAATTTATACGGATTTTTCGAAGGCATTCGATAGGCTGGACCATGGAACTCTACTTCACAAACTTTCGAACTATGGACTAACTCCAAATCTCACATCATTTTTCCAATCTTATCTTCTTGATAGAAAGCAGTATGTAAGCTTCCATGGTCATAGGTCTATTGAAGTCCTTCCTACGTCAGGTGTGCCCAGGATACCAGGTTTGATTGGGTTATTTAAAACTATTAAGAAGATATTTGCCTTCAAAGTTTCCATAATGATCAATGGTTGTGGCGGCGCAATATCGAAACTTCTATCTCTGTCACACTCTTTGATGATATGGAAAATTCGAACGCGAATATCTTTGTAATCGTATAAAATAACCCAATCAAACCCGGTATCGTTGAATTCGTTGTAATATTCTTACCACTTAGTGAGCATATTTGATGTTCCAAATTTCAGAAATGTAGCTTTAAAAAAAATTAGAAAAGTGTGTATTCCATGGGTCTGTGTCACCCGGTATGTATATAACCCTACCTTTTTCTTCCACAATTTCAAAAATATTCGCAAAAATATATTCAGCGTGTCACACTTTTCATGGTTGCACCTCCGTATCTTCTGTAATGATCATTGAGGTTGGATTCATATATTCTGTGAGAACTGTGAGAGAAATGATTGAAGTGGGCGTTTATACCCTATTTCCATTTTCCATCCACGGCTATGATTGATATGATAGAAAATCTAACCTCAAAACTTAGGCACTACTAGGAAATTTTAGAAGACAATGAGCAGAACATAATATGTCTTATTCTTTTATCCACCATTGAAATATAGAAAATAGAAAAAGACAGAAGTTCAGCTGTGTTCGAACTCTTATCTAAATAATACCATCCAGTGACTCTAGTATAATATAGCCTCCACTGTCTTGGAATGGACTATAGTGCGTACAGAAAACACCTAACATCCTTATTATTTGCACATCTTCCAGTTCAGAAACAGAAATTGGTGACTAGGCACCCTGCATGCAAAACTATGAAAAAACACACGAACAATAAGAAACCGCACTACCTACCTTTCGTGGGCGTCGTGAAAGACCGCTCCTCAATCTATATCAATTGATTTAACCTTGGCAATTTTAGTATCCCGGATAATTTGATTTCAAAAAATGAAAATGGTAACCATAGCTTCGGGTAACCACATGGGATTTCAAGGTTTCAAAACTTTTTAGAGTCGAGCTATATGAAAGAACACATGAGATGATATTCCAAGGCGCTAGCCGAGATATATAAGGTGCCGTGGTGATGATATTCTTCACTACCAAGGTGTATTGCTGGTTCCAGTTGGTTCCAGCTGGTTCCAGGTAGTTCCTGGTGGCTCCTATCAAATATTTTTCACCACTACCAATGTATTCCAATCATTATAGTTTTGTGAAACTGAAATATGGCCTCATTGTCAATATGAAAGCACTTTCCATTTCCGACTGAAATCTAGCGCCATGGCCATGACAGCATATGACAAATTGTTATTGATAAATACTTACCAGATTCCAGTGCCATTTCTGCGGCATAGGAACAGTGCATTCGAGTTGACTAAGTCTTAATGAACTAGCAGTTCATAAAATGGCAAAAACTACCTTCGTAGAGACACACACTTTACACCTTGAAAAAATGTTGACAATGGTATGTTCTATAGCTAGTGGTGGAAGAAGAAATACCTTTCGTGGGCCTCGTCGATGATCATGACGCTGTAAGATGCCAAATCGGGCTCGGACAAAAACTCGCTGTGCAGCGTACCGTCCATCATGTACTTGATGACGGTGCGTTCGGGCATGCACAAATATATATTTATAGCGCGTACAATATCGAACATCCCTGTTATTTGCAAAGAAAACTTCAACCGTAACGTCACGTCATATAAGTCATAATATAAGGCAGGTTCAATATCGCCTCCAACATGAACCAGTCAAAGCAAAGGTCAACGCTTCCCTATGGTTTCCAACGCTGTTTTCTTAGTTGGAATGAACTATAATGCGTCACTAGCGTACAATATCCAACACTCCTACCATTTGCACCTCTTCCAGTGGAGAAAAAGATATTGGTAACTAGCACCCTGCATGCAAAACCATAAAATAACACACGAAAAAAAAAACGATCACGACCTACCTTTTGTAGGCCTCGTGAAAGAAGACCAGTTGTCAGTCTATGTGAATTGATTTATTTTTGATAATAATTTCAGTATCTCGGGTAGTTTGATTTCGAAAAATGAAGAAATATACATTCAATGGTAACAATAGTTTTTGGTAATCACATGGGATTTAAAGGTTTCAAGACTTCTTAGATATGTTTCACCGGACTTCTTTCAAGAGTCGGGCTATATGAAAAAACACATGCAATGATATTCCGAGGCGCTATCCCAGAGATATAATGTGCCGTGGTAATAACATTCTTTACTACCAAGGTGTATTGCTGGTTCCAATTGGTTCTTGCTGGTTACACGTGGTTCCTGGTGGCTCCTATAATATTTTTTTCACCACTAGCAATGTAAACTACTCAACACTAATTTCGTCGCACACCAAAATGTCGCCCCTGTTATAATGTGAATAACTTTTTTCAGTCTAGAACAATTTGAATTTGGTTAACACTGTTCGATAGCCCAGTCCTCCAGCTATAATCTCGTACTTCATTGAAACATAAGGGTATTCACATAAAGTCTCTACATGGTGTTTTCCGACACTGTGCGAAATTTCGGAATATTCAAAAGGCTCTCAAATGGTGAAAAAAATTTTTTTCTCAACTTCGACAACAGAGGCATGACCTCGAGATATTTCGCGAATCAACTTCCTATCTCTCTTATTTACAGAGTGATCTCAAAAAATCAACTTTTTGGTTTTGCATCCATAACTTTTTTCCACGTCAACCGATTTTGGAAATCTCAGGCTCATTTTGAAGATAAAACTTCAGATGAAGAGATCTGAATATCAGAATTGACTCAAGATGGCTATCAAAGATCTAGAGTTTTCTTGAAAGTGACCCAAATCTGGAACGCTCTTCGAATCTTGGTTGGGAGGGGAATTGAATGAGAATCAACTTGTTCTCGGAAAAACAATTCATTCTGGATGCGTTCATATTTTCCTCGCTCTCAGTAGTCAAGAATTGTGCGTGAGAAAATACAATTGAAACATGTTCTTGCAAAAACATTAGATCATTTCTCCTCCGTAATGCATGGCCCGCCGTAACCAACGTTACAAGAATCAGAATGAGTGACTGACAAACTCGACCAGCTGAGGCTCATCATAAATGGTGTACCAACAACAGCAACGGATTTTGATTTTTTCAATAAAGTGTTTTTTTTTACAGTTGTCACGTACATAACATGCGATTTAAGAACATGGAGTAGTATTCAAGCAAACAACGTTTATTTATTGTAAAAACGCATTTCAAATATGGTGAAAGTTACACGAAAACAGTTTGCCAATTACGTAAAGTTTTCAGTCGCAATAATGCGCCGAAGGAATCGACAGTAATAACCAAACAATTTGTGTCGGAGATAAGCCCTTTGAATGGATCGGACTGTCGTGTTTAGCAGATCCGCGATTTGGAGGGAAGATAACCCTTGTTCCCTCATTTGTGGAATCAGTTCCAACTGGTCGGGCGTTAGATGCGGCATCGAAACTATCAAAATCTGTTTATGATTCGAAAACGACGTCTAACCTGACTTGTCAGTCACTTACTGTGATTCTTGTAACGTTGGTTACGGGCCATGCATTACGGAGGAGAAATGGTCTGATGTTTTTGCAAGAACATGTTTCAAAATTGTGTTTTCTCACGCACATTCTTGACTACTGAGAGCGAGGAAAATATGGACGCATCCAGAATTAATAGTTTTTCCGAGAACAAGTTGATTTTCATTCAATTCTCCTCCCAACCGAGATTCGGAGGGCGTTCCAGATTTGGGTCACTTTCAAGTAAACTCTAGATCTTTGATAGCCATCTTAAGTCAATTCTGATATTCAGATCTCTTCATCTGAAGTTTTATCTTCAAAATGAGCCTAAGATTTCCAAAATCGGTTGACGTGGAAAAAAGTTGTGGCTGCAAAACCAAAAAGTTGATTTTTTGAGATCACTCTGTAAATAAGAGAGATAGGAAGTTGATTCGCGAAATATCTCGAGGTAATGAGATCATCTTCATGCCTCTGTTGTCAGAGTTGAGAAAAACATTTTTTTCACCATTTGAGAGCCTTTTGAATATTCCGAAATTTTGCACAGTGTCGGAAAACACCATGTAGAGATTTTATGTGAATACCCTCATGTTTCAATGAAGTACCAGATTATAGCTGAAGGACTGGGCTATCGAACAGTGTGAACCAAATTCAAATTGTTTCAAACTGAAAAAAGTTATTCACATTATAACAAGGGCGACATTTTGGTGTGCGACGAAATTAGTGTTGAGTAGTTTATTTCAATCATCATAGTTCTGTGAAACTGAAATATGGAGCTATTGTCGCCATGGAAGCACTTGCTTAATTCCAATTGATAATGACAGCATATGACAAGTCGCTATTGATTGGAGTGCCATTTCTGCATCTCTGGATCATGCATCAGAACAGTGAATTTGGGTTAGTTATGATAGAGTTGGCTAAGTCTTTATGAACTAGTAGTTCAAAAAACACTTTGCGCCTTGAAAAAACGTAAACAATGGTAGGTTGTATAGCTAGTGGTGGAAGAAGAAATACCTTTCGTGGGCCTCGTCGATGATCATGACGCTGTAAGAAGCCAGGTCCGGCTCGGACAAGAATTCCCTGTGCAGCGTACCGTCCGTCATGTACTTGATGACGGTGCGTTCGGACGTGCAGTCCTCGAACCGAATCGCGTATCCCACCTCGTTGCCTAACTTCACGCCCATCTCTTGGGCGACGCGGGCCGCCACCGACATAGCCGCAACACGACGCGGCTGCGTACAGCCGATCTTCTTGTCTGAAAATAATAGATGTACATGGTGTTTCATAATACAGGGTGTTCTTTAATAATATGCTGATATTCAAGGGGCCGATTTTTCGACCTATTTCAAGAATTCAACTTCATATGAACGTGTCTCGTAAACGTTGGGCAACGTCAAGGCGGAAGCGAGGATGGGGGCACATACAGTGTGTCCACCTTAAGGACTTACCACCCCTGTAAAATTGTTATTATCTGACCGATTTCAAAAAACTTTTTTTTGTTGAATAGGTATTTGAAATGTCCATCCAACAAGAGAGTGATTTTACTTATGAACTGTAATCGTGGCCAACATATTTGAGAAAGTACTATTAGGGATTTTTTTTCACAAAAAACAATGATGGATTCTGAATCACGATCACTTGAAAAACACCTTCACTGATTTTTATCATCATAAAACACAGGGTGTCCGAAAAAACGAATTGTTTTTTTGATAGGTGATGTAGTATTGTGGTATTTTTGAGAAGAATTGATGACACATTATTATTGAGGATCACTCTGAACATATCTGTACCGATTTTCATCATTCAAAAATACGATGTGTATGAGAAAACAATTAGAAAGAAAAAGTAGGCAATATTTTTTCATCAACTCAAAAAAATGTATTAATTTGATTTTTCGAATACCCTGTGTTTAATGATGATGAAAATCGGTACAGGTATGTTCCAAGTGACCTTGATTCATCTTTTTATTTTGAGTGAAGAATTATCAGGATGAAAAATATTGCTTACCTATCTTTTTTAATTTTTTTCTCATACACATTGTATATTCAAATGACGAAAATTGGTACAGGTATATTTGAAATAATCCTCAATGATAATTTGTGATTATTTCTTTCTAGAAAAACCACAGAACTACATTTGCTGATCACCTATTTGAAGAAAATGATGATTCGTTTTTTCGGACACCCTGTGTTTTATGATGATGAAAATCGGTACAGGTATATTTCAAGTGGTACTGATTCAGAATCCATCATCAAGTTTCGTAGAAAAAAATCCCTAATAGTACTTTCTGGAATATGCGTCATTGAAATTTGTCGCAGTTGGCCACGATAACAGTCCAAGAATTAGATAACTCTCTCGTTGGATGGGCATTTCAAATACCTATCCAACAAAAAAAGGTTTTTTGAAATTGGTCGGATAATAACGATTTTACAGGGGTGGTAAGTCCTTAAGGTGGACACACTGTAGACTGGAGTGTTCCAGGACTTCCCAAAGAAATCCAGGACTTCCCAAAGAAATCCAGGACTTCCCGAAGAAATCCCGGACTTCCCAAAGAACTCCCGAACTTCCCAAAGAATTCTCGGACTTCCCAAAGACTACCTGGACTACCCAAAAAATGCCTGGACTTCCCAAGGTATCCCCGGACTTGCCAAGAATACCTGGACTATCCAATGAATTCCAGGACTTCCTAAGGAATACCTGGAATTCCCAAAGACTAACCGGACTTCCTGAGGAATTCCCGTCTCGGGTACACTGGACTTCCCAAGTGATTTACACCTCGAAAGCTAAGTTTGCACCCACTTTATCAAATGATAACTATACTTTGAGGAATAAAAATGTAGTGTATCCACAACATAGATTAACAGCCACAGAACATGGAGCCACATATTATTCCATTAAAATGTATAACAAATTGCCGACTACTATTAAATTGCTCTCTAATAATGTCAACAAGTCCAAAACAAAGGTACATGAGCTATCAATACACCTAGAACCATATAATGTAAGTGAGCATATGGAAATGTAAAACCATAGATCTAGAAACTATTTTAATTAACACTTTAACTGCCAAGCGACCGCCGGCGGCCAATTCATGAGTTTCTCGACACCCCGTGTCTAATTCTAGGAGGAATTTCTAGGGCCACAAGTGTAACTATGGCAGAAGAAATCGTTTAAAAATTTTGAAAAAAAAACATACACACTTTTCAGTATTCCTGATTTCAAAAATGACATTTCTGACAATTGGTTGCCGGCGACCAACTGGCGCTCTGTTTATACGCTGATCCTTGACAGGCCAATTGGTCGCCAGCGTCCAATTGCAGAATAAGTGGGGCAACTAGGAGGGGATGCGTGTGTGTGTGTGTGAGAGATAACAGAAATAGAAAAATCAAGAAAAGGTGCACCATGTGCTATGACAAGATGTCAACACAGAAAGGGGCATGAATAGCTGCAACTTTGGCAAAAAAGTCACAACATTCTGTTCAGGATGTCAAGCTAAACCATTCATCTGTGTTTCAGTGCTTCAACAAACATTCAAAATCATAATTTGTTCTTACATACATATTCATAGTTTTGTATATTTTTATATGTTCACTAGTATTACACAATAAATCATGAGTGCTTGTATTTCTAGACCATGAAACCATCAAATTATCTGCACTAGGCTAATCATATATATATCAGAAGTACTCACTGGCACCCCAAGTGACAAACGGGATATAGAAAATCGTGAGTATATTGAACTGCCGGCATCCAACGTACAACATTTCATGAGTCTGATAATTGGACGCCGGCAACCCAAATGGCGCCCTGGAAATAAAAATCATTGGGCGCCGGCAGCCAAATTCCACAGAAACAGTCCTTATGATAATTTCTCCTTGGCGGTTGAAGTGTTAAATATTTCCTTACTGTGTCTGTGATAGTATTGTAATAATTCCTCCCAATAAAGATTTTTATTATTATTATATCACCAGACAATTAGGTAAGTTTAGATGATTTTAATCAGATCTTGATAGGTAATTATGTTGTTGTTACTGATTCTTGTTGTATTGAAGAAAATTAATCAATAAAGAAAACTCATTTCTGGAAAGAATACAACCCCCTAAATCAACATGAGAAAAAGTCAGTATTTCATTACATTTGAAATAGATCTAACACATATAAATTTACTGCATAAGTGCATAACCAGATTGTTTCTCCAAATTTGGGCAACAAATTTCAAAAAATCCTTGATACCCTAAAAAATGTTATAATTTAATATGAAATGACATGAAGATTTTCAAACCATACCTATTTTTGTTGAAGATGAAAGAAATCACAAAGTTACTATGATAATTTTAATCAGAACTTGATGGGTAATTTTTTGTTGTTACTGATTCTTGTTGTATGGAAGAAAATTAACCAATGAAGAATACTCATTTCTGGAAAGAATACTCCCTTTATCACCATGAGAAAAAGTCAGTTTTTCATTATATTTGGAATTGATCAAACACATAATAATTTACTGAACCAGATTGTTTCAAAATTCACACAACAAATTTCAAAATATTATCTTGAATGCCCTAAACAATTTTATAATTTAATATGAAATGACATGAAGATTCTCAAACCATACCTATTTTTGTTGAAGATGAAAGAAATCACAAAGTTACTATGATAATTTTAATCAGAACTTGAGTAATTTTTTGTTGTTACTGGCTCTTGTTGTATTGAAGAAAATCAATCAATAAAGAATACTCATTTCTGGGAAGAGTACAACCTTTATCACCATGAGAAAAAGTCAGTTTTTAATTATATTTGAAATGATCAAACACATAATAATTTACTGTATAACCAGATTGTTTCCAAGTTTCAAAAAAAATCCTTAATACCCTGAGACATATTATAATTTGATGAGGAATAACATGAAGATTGTCAATCCATACCTATTTCCATAGTAGATGAAAGGAATTTCCAAGTTACTACATTTCATGCTCAATTTATACATGTCTTTCCCAATATTTTGGAATTTATGCTCATTTTTGTCATTCGAATTGATGAAAGAATTCCAAATCTTCAGCCATCATAAAAATGAGATATTTTCAACAAGAAAACAATGACACTGTACAATATTACAATATATTGAACCTTCCCCATTTCCAAAGAAAACATTGTTGAATATTTACTTTTATCTCTTCCAGGGGTATAATGAAACATTTATAAATGCCATACATACCTAATATACCCTAATTACACATTGGAATTCCTATTTTCTTTTAATTTGCTTAGGGGGGAATTTTTTCTCAAATGTTATGACTGAATTGGTTAGAAAGCTACCTTATTTTCATTATTGAAATGATATTTTCCTTGCCAAGTTTTTGCTAATTGAAGTTGAGGAAGCATGAAATTTCCACCATTTTAAATTGTTTCACAAATTTTTAGTTCCTACAATATGACATAAACATATGCAATTTATTTATTCATTTTCTACTTTTATAACTATGTTTCTTACTATCTTTGGTGAATCCTGCTTCATGTAGATATTGTGGAATTTGAGTTGTTTTTCCAGAGCCAGTTTCTCCTTCTATGATCAATATCTGATGTTCTCTCACAGCCTGAATAAGATCATCTTTGAATGGAAAAACAGGCAAACTCTTCTTGGTCTCTTCAATACTCAGCTTTTTCTTTTGCGATTCTGTCAGTTCTGGTTCCTTCTTCTCATCTTTAATGCCTGGAAATTATATAAAAAATAAACATTCTCCTGATAAATTCAACAGTTCAAGTGGTTGATTGATATCTTACCTGGTATCTGTAATGCCTGAATGAACTGAATTTGGTCCTCTAATAGAAGCTCATACTCATCCTTCTTAACAGCATCTTTGGCCCCAAATTTGAACACAGCTGAAGCCATCTGATCCTTCTCCCATTTCTTTTGTTCAGCCTGTGGTACTTTCTCCAAATCATCAACTTCCACATAGTCTGCAGCAGAGTCTTTGCCCAAATCTCTGGGCATATGGTACCTCTGCACCTTCTCAAGCTCCCTGGCTTTCTCATGTTCATGTGCAAGCTTCAACAGCTCTTTTTTGTGTTGTCTTTCACGCTTCTCTCTTTCAGTCAATCTGAAAAACAATCATAAATGAATTAAATGCAGGAAAATTACCTTGAATTGTGAGATTTACATTTCCTCTTCAAACAGATATTCATCATCAGCTATATCAGCTTCTAGCTCTTGCAGTTTGTCATCTTTGCGTTTCTCTAAGTATTTTCTCCTTGACTGCACCCTGAGCATAGGAATGATCTTTTCTCGGTCAGTGGTTTCCAATTTGAGTCTTTTGGCTGCCTCCTCGTGAGCTCGTTTGTCTGATGGATGGGCGATATTCTTGGTTCGTTCCTCATCGCGTTTCTTGAGGCGAGTGGCGAATTCATCCCTTTCTTTGATATCTTGTTTTCGAGCTTCCTCCGCACTGTCGACGCTGTCCGAGTCCGAATCAGATTCATATCTCTTTTTATATTTCTGCTTGCTCATTTTCTTCGCTCAAAAAACCTTTATTCTGCTCCCTAATCTATACTATCCACCTTGGCTAAACCATAGAGTATGCTAACGTTTCTGAACGAAGAAAACAAACTTCAAATGAAAACAATGAGTTAGGTTATTATCGTTGTTTTTCTTTTTTTTTTGTTGTCTCTAGATATTGGGACTATCCGGCAACTTCTTCTTCTTATTCCTTTCTCTCTTGTTAAGGGACATACAGCCATAGACATTAAAAGAACTTTTCTACTTCTCTTTTTCAAGCCCACAATACCTCAATATTCAGAGGCGTAACCTTAGATCATACACTAAGGGCGTAACTGGGAGGGTGCTGGTGACATAATACAGAGGGTGAACAAATTCCAATGACTCATAGAACTTGATAAATATTATTCAATTAACAATTATTTTTAGTAATCAACAATCAACTGGGTGTTAACTGAATAATTGAATAACTAATTATTATAATTGAGAATTATATATGTGAAATATCTTTTAAATCCGATTAACTTGAAATTTGGCAGGTGTTCATAATTTCGGTACACTACACTGTTTTTACCACTAACCAAACCGATTTTTCAACGCCTCGACACGTGTTTCGCTAACTATGTTAGCATCTTCAGGAGAAGATTAAAACGGTTTTAAAACAAGAGAAGATTAAAACTGTTTTAAAACAGGAGAAGATTGAAACTGTTTTAAAACAGTTTTAATCTTCTCCTGAAGATGCTAACATAGTTAGCGAAACACGTGTCGAGGCGTTAAAAAATCGGTTTGGTTAGTGGTAAAACAGTGTAGTGTATCATCGTGCCAAAGGTTCAAGTCTTCGATATATCATAATTTCGGTGACAATACATTATGAAATTTTTGTTGAAATTAAAAAAAATGGCTGCTCTAAGATGGCGGACAAGATTTGGTCCGATTCCATTCAAAATGGGCGTGTACACCTTAGTAGAACTTTGAACTCAAACCATGTTTATAATGATCCATTTATACATAAATAATGATTGACGACATAATTCGATCGAAGAATTTACTGGAATGTTTTATTTTTGGACATAAATAATAGTACCTTCAGGAAACGGGCTCTCTTATGACGTAGAAACCTCATCTCGCCATAGTTAAAAGAAAATACCTAAAGCCCGACGGAGACTGAGGCAACTGATATAGTAATTCTTTCAACTGTGATCTCGCGCTGATTCACTCTGTCAGAAATCATGCATCATTCATATCTGTCTGGAATAGTCTTGCTTCAGTATTAGGGTTTTGACGTCACATCATCGCCTCGTTTTCAGAGGTCCGAAAAATCGGGGATTTCAATAATTTTTTATAAAACTTAGAGAGCTCACAGAAAGAAACGGTTTGCGGTGGTAACCTAGTTTGGGTGAGTTCTATCGAATTATGAAATAATATTTTTTTGTGATATAAGCCCATTGGTAAGTGGGGGTTTTTGATGTCGGAGATCATGATTTTTTTGTTAAAATTTATAAATTCAAGATGGCGGCTTCCAGATAATTTTTTGTTTTTGTATAAATGACGATAACTCCGTTGTTATCAACACAATACTATTACTGCGACATATCATCTGTAAGAGAAAAAAGTTATTTGTAACTAAGTCATAGTGAGCTATGACATACATTTGAAAAACTAAAGTTGGTGCTGATATCTCAAATTATAGAAGAGTTGGTATAAATTTCATATTTTTTTCGAAATCACTTTGAAAAACTGCCACGAGAATGTGAAATTCCTATTTGAATATTTTCATAAATTAAGAAGTAACGGAGGAGACATGAAAATGATCAAAATCTGTTTTTTGCGTATAAAACAAAAACGAATAGATTTTATCAAAATATTTTTTCACATTATATTTGGCCTTGACAAACTCTACATTTGGTGTCATTTAACCGACCTCGCATCTCTCACCGTTAAAAAGATACCCATGGTGAGCATGGTAAGTGGGACACACTGTATTATTTTTCATGTCCGATTTGGAAATATGTTAACATTTCTCTGGAATTTTGATCACGCGCGTGGAAAATTTTTTTTTCTATGCAATTTTCGGCAGTTTGACCAGGAATTATGAAAATATCATTATTATTTTTACTAAAAAATGATACTCTTGTTCAGTTTCAATAGCACTCACCATTTTCTAGATAAATCGATTTTGAAAGTCTGCTGCGTATAGGTAATAAAAATAATACTTTTTCCTTATTGGGTACCAAATTTTCCCAAAAATTATTTTTCGATGGAAAATAACCTTTTTTCATTATCTACTTGTGATGTTTGACTCAAATTATGATAAACAATTCAAAAATATTATCGTAGGTATACTTTTTTTACAAATTTTGTTTCTATAGAATCTGTGGTTGAAACCTTTCTATGGACACCCTACATATAGGTACCTATACTTAGTACTTATACCTATACAGGGTTGACCCGGACCCAATTTAGCCCTCTATATTTTCGTTGCTATTTTTCAAATTTGCATGGTACATCGATTTGATTGCACCATATGAGTGAATGCTATTACTAGTATCAGACGAAATATATTAGACGTCCGATTTGAACGGAAGTGCAAAAAATATTTTTCGATTTCAAATGCAATAAAGGATAATTTTTTCAGGAAATTCTGATTTATACTATAACATTTTATCTTTCCAACGATATATCACAATCATTCTTTCGATTCACAAGCTAGTCATATAATAATTGGGACTTTACAAAAAAAAAACGGAACAATTTCGGACTGAGATTTTGACCTCAGGAAGATATGTACTAAGATTTTGTACAGACCTTTTTAGGGTCACCATATGGAGGTATATATATTTAGGAAGGTGATGATAAGATTTGTAATTAAACCAGCCAGAACTTTAGAGACGTTGGTATATGTAAATATATTAAATAAATTGGTACATAAAAATACATGAAAAGAGACCTATCAAGTTTACCCTTGTTACTGGCTTCGAAAAATAAATGAATAGAAAGAAACACTTTCCGTAGGACCCATGAGAGATTGGAGGTCTTTCTCGTTATTCGCCAACTCTACCATTTCTTCTAATTCCTCAACTTCACTTTTTCTTCCAGTAATCCAGTATTCGAACAAATGCGACAAATATCCTACAGCAGTATCGTCCATCGTTCGACACGTTTTCTTGATTTCAATCTCTTCTTCCTTGGAAGCTATCCGAATGATCTTCTTTTTGAAATCGTAGACGATTTTGGAAGTCGGATCAAAGTACCCGTCTCCAGTGAAGTAACAGTGTTTCGGCGTCCTTGATATCTCAGGTAGTTCTACGTTTATCCTTTTTTCTTTATTCCCTGTGAATAAATTTCGATCCGGGAACTTGAGGTAGTCCCAGGGTTGTGTGTCTACTTCCAAACCGTCAGAGAATTGGAATCTGTGTTTTCGTAGTTTGCCTTTCGCCCACGTACCGGTCACCTGATGATCATTTTTCATAAAAGAGAGGAAGATTCCGAATTTTTCGAAAAAAAAAAAACGGCGAGTAAACTGATATTGGATTATTGCATGGCTTTCAATTATTCCACTGTGTCGTTGGGAACCTAAATCAAGTTTTGAAACACATAATATACCGGGTGGCTACGGAAGTATTGCCTACGGAATATCTCAGTTATTGTATGAAGTAGGTTTGTGAAATTTGAAGCGGCGATATAATGACATAAGAGCTAGAATTTGAGCATATTGACATGTCGAAGTTAACTTCCGGTCTGACCGGAAGTAACAGTAACATTCTTATTTTGAATGGAAACCCTATTTTTTTTTCTTTTCGCTTTATTCGTCACGTCACTTGATAACAGTTGCTACTACTGTGATATTTTATTTTCATTCGTCCGCGTTATAAAAAGCCGCCAAAAAAATATTGGAAAAATTGGGAAAAAAACAATACTCTGTAGGTCCATAACTTAAATAGGAACATACAACTTTTTCTTGCTTGTACTATTCAGCATAACCATTCCTTTCTAATGATATAATAGAAATTCATTTTTTGGCTTTCATTTTGCTTCCACGGCCTACTCGGTGAATTTCAGTAATAATTTTTTTCTGATCTAGTTTCTTCTTAGATACCAACTTGTGATATTATGTCATTAGAAAGGGAATTGAATGCTGAATGAAGCGAAAAGAAAAAAAAAAGGGTTTCCATTTAAAATAAGAAAGTTGATGTTACTTCCGGTCAGACCGGAAGTTAACTTCGACATGTCAATATGCTCAAATTCTAGCTCTCATGATATTATATCGACGCTCCAAATTTCACAAACCTACTTCATACAATAACTGAGATATTCCGTAGGCAATACTTCCGTAGCCACCCGGTATAGTGTCACGAGTAGAACATACGGTATATTGGAAATTTCGAACCATGAGGGTTTCATAAACATAAGTTAATCAAATCATCCGTTGACATTGAATCATTAAAACTGACCAAGGAACTCTCATGAGAAACGTGCATTTCTAATAAAATGATGTATATAAATATTGGATGTGAGGGTTCCGAAGTTAGTCTGGTCTGGGGCTACTCTTGACTTGACAAGAGCTCGTCGTATGGTCGTTATAATGTAAGTTGTTATTCTGTCTTCATATTCATTGTTGTTTATTCATATTCATAATCACTTCACCCATAATGTTTCATGCTATTATAAATATTGTTATGTTTGAATGTAGTCTCGTACTTTCAGTTACCCCTAAACTATTAGTGCCTATTCGAATATAACCTCTCGCAAACTATTGAGCCAAGCATTACCCCTTTTTAAATCGATATGGATGGAGTAACCATCTCTATTATATCGTGACATGGTGGGAAACCAACTCATTTGTTGTGACAATAGGAGGAATTCTTGACAATATAGTTCATTCTTGGCTTTTTCGAGCAACCAGCACATCCAAATATTTCTAATACTCGACAAAAGATCATGTGAATTTTGGAGACTTGGCAACATTGTGCTGAATGCTGAGAACTGACAAGACCACGCCCACAAGTCATGCGTGGGGTTGTCACGTTCACCGATTCAAATGCCCTCTAGTGTGAATTATTATAATTATTATTTACACAAATTTATTATAAAGCAATGATCCACAAATCATAAGGAAATATTTTGAGACAAATGAATGTTTAATTACTTTTAGGAATATTACCAATACTCAGCTGAGAATTTATAAATTATTGAATAACTAATATTTCTGACCACAAGTTCGCGAGTCATCGGTTTTCGTAATCATCATGCGATTGAATTGATTGTGATTGAAGCGAACATTAGCATCATAGTATCAGAACGAAACGGTCTTCGATATTGTATTTCTTGAACGGTATTATTCTTTGTATGTACAGGATATCATTCCGTATATTTAAACAGCTTCTACAGGATTCATTATTGAAGATATAAAACTTCAAATAAAAAAATTGTAGGGTTTTTCTGAACCTCCAGCAAATTGTACGAGGTTGGAACAAATGAAAATCGATGATAGAGAAATGGGTACCAACTCATCGTTATTTTCAATGGAACACCGTTTTCAAAAAATGAAAATATTTATTTTCTGTTCTGATTCCAAGAATATATAGGTTGTTGATAAACGGTTCAGCCGTTTTTATTAAATTCCAACAGTAACAATGAAATGTCGACCTGAATTTTAGTCCCCAAAAAAAGCTGATGGCTTGGAATTGAAAATATATGACGAAACAAAAAAAATATATATCAAACACTGTGGGTTGATGAAAATATCGAATAGACAACCTTGAATTCATAATTTTCTATACAATTCTACATGTTTGCAAAGAAATCTATAAATAAATCCAAACTCTCGACAATAGTGAGCTTTTCAAGAAAAAAAAATCAATACCATTTCTCTATGCCTCCGTCGTATGTGATTGCCTTCTGATGAAGTCTACTGTTAACATTTTTTACTGCGCAGATGGAAAAAGCGTCAATTGGATTTAATGAATTGAAATCGGCTTCTACTTGATGGACGCCACAAACCTATTTCATATTGATCATTTCGTGTATAATAGAGTATATTATTCAACAAGCATATAATAATAGCTCATTATTCACTTATATTAATTATTTTTATTTGTCTACGACTGTTGATGTACTTCCTTGAGCAAAATGATAACTATTTCTCACACCAGTGAATGATCGCGGTGGATAACCATTATTCACTGGTCTAAAGTTCCTTATATATGTTATATCGCGTGTACCCTAGGGAGAAAATAGAAGTTATAGAAAATAAATAGAATAGTTTGAAAAACTAAAGAATCCCGCTTTTATGGATAGCCAAACTGAAAAGTGGAAATGAAATAATAACATTTTTTTGATAAATATTAATCTGGATTTTTTTTTTTTTTTTGAATAATGTTTATGACAAAACAACGTTTGTCGGGTCAGCTAGTATGTATGTATAATTCTAGATCACTGCTGGATAGGTAAATATACTCAAAGACAGTTTTAGAAAATAGATTTTCATGACTCCGAAATGAAATTTCCGATAGGATTACGTCACGAATTGATTACAGCCTCCCTTTACAAATAAATCATCAATGGGCGTGTACACCTTAGTAGAACTTTTAACTCAAACCATGTTTATAATGATCCTTTTATACATAAATAATGATTGACGACATAATTCGATCGAAAAATTAACTGGAATGTTTCATTTTAGGACATAAATAAAAGCACCTTCTGAAAACGGACCCTCTTATGACGTAGAAACCTCATCTCGCCATAGTTAAAAGAAAATACCAAACGCCCGTCGGAGACTGAGGCAACTGATATATTAATTCTTTCAACTGTGATCTCGCGCTAATTCACTCTGTCAGAAATCATGTATCATTCATCTTTGTCTGGAATACTCTTGTTTCAGTATTAGGGTTTTGACGTCACATCATCGCCTCGTTTTCAGAGGTCCGAAAAATCGGGGATTTCAATATTTTTTTATAAAACGTAGGGAGCTCACAGCAAGAAACAGTTTGCGGTGGTGAGCTAGTTTGGGCGAGTTCTATCGAATTATGAAATCATTTTTTTTGTGATATAAGCCCATCCTACCAAGTCCGGTTCAAAAATTCGACACCGCCTTCTAACTGAAAACCTACCCACCTTATCACCATTGGGATAAGTCAGCACCCCATCTCCGTCAAACTCCCCATTCTTGAAATATCCCTCGTATTTAACACCGTGCGGGTACACATAGACGCCGTGCCCAGAGAAACCTAGAGCATCGTGAAAACCAGTGTAAGTGCTCCCAGTGCAATACGACTGCAAATTTTTCGAAATTCTCTTGTATCCTGGATGAGCTCCTCGGAATTTCGCATCGTAGGGCATGATGCTCATTCTTGGTTGCAGATGTCCGGATGCATTGATTTCTCTGCTCCAGTCGCTGGTCAAGTTGCGTCTTTGCATGGACATAGAAGGACATGCACTCAATCTTCGATCTATGTAATAGGCATCCATCTTTGTATATCCTAGGTATATGACGATTATATTATTTGTAGATTTTTTTACAAATGACTATGAGGATGTTTACAGAAAATCAACTTGAAAAAAAAAATATTATTGTCAAAGTGATTGATGATAAACAAGTCTATAGGGTGTTTTCACGATGAAGATATTTTTTCGATAAACAAGCGTGTATACAGGGTGTTTCAAGTAAACCTAACCCCCTTGCTAGGGTAGGTAGAACATTGCAAAATAAGTTGGGTTTGCTCAGTGAAAAAATGTTGTAACGGCATCCGTTTTCAAGATACACGGTGTTGAAAAAATTATTTTTTCACACATTTTTCACGATTATTCCGAAACTACTGGAAACATTGTAATGAAATTTTGTATGGATGTTTCTTGAAATCTGACACATCGCATGAATTTGTTTTTATATCTGACTCTCATAGAGGGCGCTAGTTACACGGTTCGTACCGAGTACTTTTGAACATAACTTTTTCGAGGTTAGATTTTTCAATCCACATAAAATATGATATGATCTTGAAAATCATTCAATTTCACACCAAAAAGGTACTCTTGGTGAAACTCGATACTATGTTTCGTTTTCGGAATATTTCGATTTGAAAATAATGGAGTAGTAATGATGCTGGTATAAAATGAATTTCATCGAGTTCAATTACCCATTTATTCAGGTTCAAAAACCATAAAATTATTCTTGTGCTGAAGTTATCGATGTAACAAAGAATCATAAGTAGAAAATTAAGAGATATTTGACTAGAAAGATGAAATATTGAATCAGTTAGAGTAAGTGTTCAAAATGTCCTACGTTTCGAGGAATACACGGTTCTATATTCTTTTCTTAAGAATGTATTATTCTTCTGAACAGTTGAGGATCAGCTGTTAGGTCATTTAAGTGATGTTCAATTATGTCTCACAACTCTTGACGTGAATTTTCCTATGTAGCATAGACTTTCTGCTCAAGATACAACAAAACTGTGTAATCCATGTTCCTAGTCAAATCTGTTTTGATGTTATTCTTGTGATTCATTGTTAAATCAATGAGTTTTGCATCAGAAATGTATTGTTGTTTTCGGTTTTCAATAAATAGGTGATAATTTTTCATAATCCTCACTCTAATACATAGCTTTATACCAGCAACAGTTACCACTTCATCATTTTCAAATCGAAATATTCCGAAAACGAAACACAATATCGAGTTTTACCAAGAGTACCTTTTTGGTGTGGAATTGAATGATGTTCAAGTTCACATCAAATTTGGATTGAAAAATCTAACCTCATCAAAGTTATGTTCAAAACTACTCGGTACGAACCGTGTAACTAGCGCCCTCTATGAGAGTCAGTTATAAAAACAAATGCATGCAATGTGTCAGATTCTAAGAAACATCCATACAAAATTTCATCACAATGTTGTCAGTATAGTTTCAAAATAATCATAAAAAATGTGTAACAAAAATATTTTTTCAACACCTTGTATCTTGAAAACGGATGGCGTTACGACATTTCTTTACTGAGCAAACCCAACTTATTTTGCAATGTTCGAGAGGGTTAGGTTTTTTTGAAACACCCTGTATATATGCAAACTACAAATTCCTCGGGTGAAGATACTACTAAAAAAACGAGATACAGTCTCTGAAAATACCTGAAATACTAACCAAATCACAAAAACACTGATAGAAATTGAGATTCAGTTTATGTCAAGTTGATTTTTTATAAACATCCTCATCGTCATTTGTGAAAAATTCTATAAATAATATCATCGTCATATACCTAGATGAAAACATGGATGCGTATTACATAGATCGAAGATTGAGTACATGTTCTTCTATGTCTATGCAAAGACGCACCTTGACCAGCGACTGGAGCAGAGAAATCAATGCATCCGGACACCTGCAACGAAGAATGAGCATCATGCCCTACGATGCGAAATTCCGAGGAACTCATCCAGGATACAAGAGAATTTCGAAATATTCGCAAAATAACGTACCTAGTAGGTTATTTTGATAGAAACAAACGCAATGGAAGCGATGTGAATCTCCATTTCTATCAATGTTTTTATGATTCTGTTAGTATTTCAGGTATTTTCAGACACTCTGTATCTCGTTACATATACAGAAGGTAAGAACACTAGGGCAATAGAGTTCATGTTATGAGTACTCATTATGAGCAAAGAAACATTCTTACTACATAAATAAAATTATATTATTCCTACTCGCACAAAGTACACATTGTATATAAAAACACATTAAAATCAACCAACCCCTTTCATAACAACAGTGGCGATAATAAGGGCTAACATGTTTTGATTATCCACCAGATCGCGCTACTGAAACATTACAGTCATTACACTTCTTCTTTCTTTATAAATTCCCGATTTCATCTTCATCCACTAGTTAGTTATCCGTTTGTTTTTTACTCACGCATCGAATGACATGAAAATATACTGGGGCACTGATCGGAAATAAGAAAGATATAGTGCTATGAAATTTGAAAAGTTTGCCACTAAATTTTGCACACCCTGTGATGATTCCTGTCATGTGACATGTATCTATTATGATTCTTAAAAGGAAGAAGAAAAACTCAAAGTCATCTCCACAACTTTGATAATGATGTTATAAAACCAAAAATTGACTTACATGGAGGTGAACATTATGTGTTTTTCAAAAAGGTTGCCGATGATGCTCATCATAATATCGTGTGAATGATAATGAGAATAAATAAGTTTTTTGAAGGAATAAACGGGTTTTCATTTAAAATGAAGGGCCCCGTGCCCTAAGAACGCGCACTTATAAAATCAAATGTCAAGTCCCAGAGGCGAGACTTGACGAGCACATAAGGTGCTTATGATTCTATCGAGCAGGCACTCTCTATTTTGTTATTAATGTTTTTGACTAGTGGTGGTCCAAAATTGTTTTTTTTACCTGAATGTCACTGAACCTATTTCTATTGAATTCCAGGAGTATGTAGGTAACCACTAGAAGCCCTCAAATGTGCAATAAAATAAATGACATGCCTATGATACAATTGAAGTCTGCGAAATATCAAAATCCTGACTCTACTGATAACTGAGCTATAGAAGACGGGAGGTGAGATGCAGAACCATATATACGTATTTTTTCTTTTTTTTTTGGAAAATCAACTCTCACTTCACAGAAAAAATAAATGAAAAAGGAACTTGGCTCCTTCACTGTTCCTATGACGTACCACCTAGAAAAGCCACTTTCACAGAGATATTAAATACGATTTCCTTTGTGAATACGACGTTGCCGGCATCATCAATATATCTAGAATTCCGTAAATTGTTCTTTGAATAAATTATGACAATATCAAAACAGAAATGGGATATAATAGATTTTTCTCAATCCTACTTCGCCCATTACTACGAATAATTTTCATAATTCTCTCATTTGCTCGCTGAAGTTGACAACTAATTAATAAATTCGTTCCTTTATAACACGGATCTATTTTCTAGAAAAGTTGCAGATTATATCTTGCAACAGCGCATAATACTTTGATCCTGTCCACACCACACAAAATACTAACAGGCACACCGATCTGATATTGTGGTTAATTATGTTTTTCTACCAGTTATTCGTTAATCTATCTCTATAGTTCATCGTTGTTTTGTTAGTCACCTGGTCATCGCTATTTTTTATTAAATAAACATCAACAACGACGCGAAGTTGTCTTCTTCTTCTATTTTTTTATTCGTTAGCTATTCACTAGCTATATTCTTCATAATCAGCTAATTTCAGATTAGATTCAGATTCACGTCACAGTTTGCCGCCCCGTAAATCGAAAACTGTTTCATTTTGAAAATGAACGCGACTTGGAACATATCGATCGCCATTCTCTACAGCGTGGACATGAAACTGACGAGTTCTGAACTTATTTTATCAAAATGCATCTGAAGGCAACTTCCTCATTGCATTTGATAAACCATAACCAGTTTTTGTATTCTCCCAACAATATTTTCCAGAAAAATTTTAACATTTACTTTGACAAAGACCCTGTGCATAGACCTCGAGCTGCAGCAGCGCAAAATGGCGAAATCGACACTGTTAGCCCTCACTACAAATGCCCCCTGTGATAAGGATCGTAATTGGTCAGATACTTATCCGTCAATCTGCCACCGTCCACTTGCATCAACCTGTTGTCCGCCACATTGACATTTGCGAGCAGTCTGTCGTCTTGCGCCTGCGCGATCAGTCTATTGTCATTTGTCATCAGTCTCGCGCTGTTGCCGTTATCCACCAAAATCCTCAGTGGCGGTGGTTCGCTTATATTGATCGCGATCAACCTGTTGTCGGTGAGCAAATGCGAGTTATCCGCTAGAATGTTTGAGTTGTCCGGTTGCAGGTTAGTATTTTTGCTCGTCGTTAGGTATTCGGTAGCTATATTTTTCATCATCAGCAAAATTCAGACTATATTCAAAATTTACGTCACAGTTTGCCACCTCGAAAATCGGAAACTATTTTATTTTGAAAATAAAAACGACTTGGACCTCATCGACCGCCATTTTCTACAGCGTGGACATGAAACTGACGAGTTCCGAACTCATTTTATGAACATTCATGTGAAGGAAACTTCCTCATTGCATTTGATAAACTATCACCAGTGTTTAGATAGACATGGACCTCGAGCTGCAGCAGCGCAAAAAGGCGAAATCGACACTGTCCTTCCCAATTACAAATGTCCCCTGTGATAAGGATCGTAATTCGTCAGATACTTATCCGTCAACCTGCCACCGTCCACTTGCATCAACCTGTTGTCCGCCACGTTGACATTTGCGATTAGTCTATCATCTTGCGCCTGCGCGATCAGTCTATTGTCATTTGTCATCAGTCTCGCGCTGTTGCCGTTATCGACTAAAATCCTCAGTGGCGGTGGTTCGCTTATATTGATCGCGATCAACCTGTTGTCGGTTAATAAGTGCGAGTTATCCGCTAGGATTTTCGAGTTGTCCGGTTGCAAGAATATCCGGTTGTCTGGATGTAGCTGTTGTTGTTGTTGTTGTTGTGGGGGCGGTTGGTATTTTTGCTCGTCGTTAGCCTCGTATTTCATGGTTCTTTGATGGTCCTGGCCGTTGTATTTCGGTGTGGGAGCGTGAACTTTCATGTGGGTGTTGAGGGTGCTCGATTGCGAGAAAGCCTTGAACATAAAGTTTTGTGTCATTCTGATGACTACAATGACTAGCTAATGAGTAATGATGTCAATTTTATTACAGTGTTACCCGTGAATCATGAATGAACGTTCAATAACATTTGTCTGCTAATATTCTAAGATCCGACTGCAAGATTACTACGTTCTTCTGTTATTTGAAAATCGAAGTTTAACATTTATTCATGAATAAGAGAATATATTTTCACCGGGTTGTCTATCAAGATGTGGCGGCAAGTATTTTTATTTAAAATAATATCGATTGATCCTCAGACGGTCACGATGTTTTGAGGTTCCTAATACACAGCATTGTTTTCATTGTTGTTAGTGCAAAGCATATTTGAAAAAATTCATAAAGGCGATAATGATTTCCAAAGTTATTGTTTCGTCGCATAAATAGTTATTTATTATACAAGGGAAAAAAGTAGTACATATTAGCTCCAAAAAACAGTCAGCTAAAATCTGATATTTTTCCGTGTATAATACACTATTTTTTTCTGTGACATGAAAAAGGAGGAATCAATATTGAGAAGTTATTACATTATGTTGAAATCAGAAAATTATCGACGTGCAATTTGAAGTTTTTAACAGGAATGAACCTACAGTGCAGGCATCTTTATCATTTTTTTGAAATAATCAAATATCTGCCAGTCAAATTCTATAATTTGATTTTCAAAAATTGCAAATTTAGTGGTTGTTTAGTAATTTAAGTAACCGCGAAGTCGAATGGAAGATAAAAGGACTTGTAGTTCTTTCTCGAAGAAGGCGTTATTGGCGTTATTTTTCGGAACTAAAGGACAACAAAAGCCCAGTGGGAAAAAAGTAATTTATGAAAAGTGACATATTATTATAATAACCTATCAACAATGATGGAATGTCAAACTTTCTTCCCGTCACAGAAAAAATATATTTTTTGTGCAGACGTAGTTAGTTATACAGTGTGTCCCACTTACCATGCTCACCATGGGTATCTTTTCAACGGTGAGAGATACGAGGTCGGTTAAAACACACCAAATGTGGAGTTTGTCAAGGCCAACTATAATGTGGAAAAATATTTTGATAAAATCTATAAGTTTTTGTTTTATACGCAAAAAAACATTTTGATCATTTTCATGTCTCCTCCGTGACATCTTTATTTATGAAAATATTCAAATAGGAATTTCACATTCTCATAGCAGTTTTTCAAAGTGATTTTGAAAATAATATGAAATTTATACCAACTCTTCTAGAATTTGAGATATCAGCATCAACTTTAGTTTTTCAACGGTAGGTCATAGCTCACTATGACTTAGTTACAAATAAATTTTTCTCCTCTTTCAGATGATAGGTGGCAGTGATAGTTTTGTGTTGATAACAACGGAGTTATCGTCATTTAAACAAAAACAAAGAATTATTTGGAAGCCGCCATCTTGAATTTGTAAATTTTAACAAAAAAATCACGATCTCCGACCTCAAAAACCCCCACCTACCAATTTTGAATGAAATCGGACCAAATCTTGTCCGCCATCAATTTAAAAAAATGGCTGCTCCAAGATGGCGGACAAGATTTGATCTGATTCCATTCAAAATTGATAAGTGAGGGTTTTTGAGGTCGGAGATCATGATTTTCTTGTTAAAATTTATGAATTCAATATGGCGGCTTCCAAATAAGTTTTTGTTCTTGTATAAATCACGATAACTCCGTTGATATCAACACAAAACTATTACTGCGACATATCATCTGAAAGAGAAAAAAAAGTTATTTGTAACTAAGTTATAGTGAGCTATGACCTACATTTGAGAAACTAAAGTTTGTGCTGATATCTCAAATTCTAAAAGAGTTGGCATAAATTTCATATTTTTTTCGAAATCATTTCGAAAAACTGCCATGAGAATGTGAAATTCCTTTTTGAATATTTTCATAAATAAAGAAGTTATGTAGGAGACATGAAAATGATCAAAATCTGTTTTTTGCGTATAAAACAAAAACGAATAGATTTTATTAAAATATTTTTTCACATTATAGTTGGCCTTGACAAACTCCACATTTGGTGTCATTTAACCGACCTCGTATCTCTCACCTTTAAAAATATACCCATGGTGAGCATGGTAAGTGGGACACACTGTATATTATTTAGGCATGGAAAAAACATGATTGTTTGTTTTGTTCAATTTCATTATCGACCCGTCCTTATTGAAAAACCCTTTAGCATATAGCTATTCAGTTTGTTAAATAGAACCAATGAAAGCCGTAAGTCGCGTCACTTTGGTGCAATGAACTCAATAGGTGCGTTTTATTGGCAAGATTCTCCCACCGGAGACAATTTATGTCGTTTTATTGGACGAAATTCTGAAACTGGTTCCAACTTTTCATTCCGCCTTCTCATACGGAATGACAGGAAGACGATTAAGGAGGGAGTGTACGAAATGGCGGAAATGGCGGTATTTCAGATACTCTAACCTCGAAATCTGAACTAAAAATTGCCTAAAAGTGAACTCGCCTCAGGAAATATTTTGGAATTGTTGGCAATTCTACCCAGAATAGTATCAAACACGTATGGACTCCTGAAATGTATTTTGAATGTTGATAAATCTATTTGCGGTAGGTATATTACTTCTTCATAATAGTTTTGAATTTTTGGTATAATAATGCTAGAAAATCTGAAGTCGAGTATTCCTGTAGATAACACCAGAAGACTGATACAAGTACCTATATAAAACCCTTCCTAGTATTAAGGAATCAGTTTCATCGATAAATATCAATGTATTTTGCCTTGTAATCAATGCAACAACTATACTAAGGAGGATAACAAGAGCGGGAACAACATCCATTATTGCAGCTGCATGTCACAACTGTCAAAATACATCACATCGTTTTATTGGTCATCAATTCTACTGCCACCAGTTGGAAACCAAAAAAACACACCTAATATAAACAACTGGAAGGGACCCTCTGTGAACAACGAGTGAGGCAAAAATATTGTTCAGGCAACCCGCAGTGGTTACCTATCTACCTACCTGTTAGATACCTATCTCTTTCTATCTTATGTTGGCTAATAGGAAGCGCTCGTATTATTTGAAATATTTTCATGTTTTTTGCTTTGAGTATCACTAAATTACTATAGGTTTTCTAAGAATCTGAACAATTTTCAACTTACCTATGGAGAACAACTTCTGTTTGTCTTGCTTGTTTCACATCCAAAGGCAACACAATATAAATAACCATTGTTTATTAATTGGAAATCATAAATTTTTTCAACAATAATTAATTCACACCAACAAATTCAGTCCTTGTGAAGAAACAAAACACGCCAAATTTAGCGATATTTCACATACCAAAGAACAATGAAATTCTGTCTTCACCAAAGAACAATGAAATTCTGTCTTCACTTTTTTGCCTGTTTAGATAGAAAAAAAAAAGATCTCAAGTACTCCAATCATTGGATAAAAGAAAATTTATACACCAATCCGCCATTGAACAACACGAGTGGGAAAGATGCAGGTTAACGTAACACAAGCTATCTTTGTTGCAGCTGCCCCTGACACACTCTATGCTATTCGAGAAACCGGCAGACTCCCTTCCAGGTGTTTATATTGAGTTAGACGCGTCACTTCAATGATGTAATATCTATTAACGGTATTTTAGAAGGCTACCTTTGACGGCAGTTCAAGTACAACGAATGAGAAATAAATCGATTTGGTCAATTTGTTGACTAACCTTGCCGCACGTGACGCAAACGTAGGGTCTTTCACCGGAATGGACTCTCATGTGCCTCAGCAAGATGGTGTTGACTGTGAATCCCCTGCCGCACACTGTACACACGTACGGCCGTTCTCCTGTATGATTTCGCATGTGGTACTTCAACTTCATCACGGTCGTGAACCTAGAAATCGTATCATGTTCACCACTATCAGCACTAATATTTTTGTCTATTTTTATTCCTGGACCGATTAGGAAAGAGGTCTACGTTTCAGGGTATTCAGTTTTCTTAGTTCAGTATTGCACGGGCAACTATGATTGAATAAAAACAAACGGTCACAGATATTTTTCATCTTCTTCTTCTTCTCTTTAGGTTTATTGGATTCCTGTCTCCTTTCGGTAACAATTTCACCAGATCAGGAAATTATTTTGTTTCCAGAATAAATACTTGGTTAAGAGAGTTTTTGATTGATTAATTGATGACCGCATTGACTCATCTCCAAACGGTAACATTTCAAATTGAAGACCAGGACCGACCGATCCAAGACCACATCACCCGGGCTTTTTGATGGTCGATGTGGTTCATGGATATAAAATATAACCTCAAAGCAATCCAATTACTCGAAAAGTGGCAAGGGTATCTACAGTCTTCAAAATGAGTAACTCAAATTGCTTATAATTGAACAAAAATAGCGATTCATCTGAGCGAAATATTTCTGATAGACATTTCAAAATTATTAATCCATCTACAGAATCTATCTTGAGGAATTCAATGACTGATAAAAGAGATGATTCCTAATATATCTGATTTTTAGGATACCAGAATATGTGTTATTTTCGGTATATTATATTGAGGGTATCTACAGTTTTCAAAATGAGTAACTCAAAACTGCTTACAATTTAGCGAAATATTTCTAATAGACAGTAAATTATTAATCCATCTACAGAATCTATCTCGAGGAATTCAATGACTGATAAAAGAGATGATCACTAATATATCTAAATTTTAGAATATCAGGATATGGGTTATTTTCGGTTTACGGTTTTTAAGGTTTTTGCCGTTTTTGTTCAAAAGCGACCTGTCGAAACCAATCGTATTTGTCATTGTGATCAGTCACGTGACATTAACGACCGCTCGGCTACCACAAACCCATTATAATAATAGATAGATAGATAGATTTATTGTATTGAAAGAATTACAATTCTTATTACAAGGGTTGGGTAATCTGTGATTAATGAATATAATGAGAACTAATAGCTAAAACGAAAACAAAAATCCTTCCTGCGGGACCTAGATAGGCATTGAAACAATAATTGATATGCAAATTACTCATTCACAGCAAAAAATCTAAGCTTCAACAAATTGATCAGAACCTGTACTAGGAGTTTCAAGTCAGCTAGGCCACCATAATTCAGAAGATATATTAAATCATCTATACATTCAACGTCTTGAAACAATCGACAATCCCTGATACCAGCATAAACTGGACATTCAAAGAGAATGTGTTCCAAAGATTCCAGTCTGTGGAGATTGCAAACAGTGCATTCTTCTTCAGTATTTATTCTATACACTATTCGATTGAAGGTAATTCTAAAGAACGACTTACTGCATGTCCTTAGTTGAGCGATAATTCTAGTTATATAGATGGGAACGGGCGCTTTGAGGTAATTTTGAACATTTACCCGTAGAGAGAGACTTTTATAAATGAGAGGATACGAAGATTGGCTCAAACTATCTGAATCAATGCTTAAAAGTTCATTGTTGAATTTGTGCAGAAGAGAAGTTATAGCTTTCTTGGAACTATTGAGCAGAAACTGTTGCCAACGATCGACCATTCCGGCAAAAGAGAAGTATTGTTTGACCTGCAATACCCAGTTGTATTTAGGATCAACGTTATCGAGTCTGAGCAATCTTAAAAAACAGAGCTTTGGTAGTTGATGGTTGAGAAGTGCAAAATGTGAAAGAGCAGCAGTGAAAATCAGATAAGAAAGTTTTATTGAGGAAGTTTCCAGACGAACAATATAGTCTGGAGTATTTTTAGGGAGTGACAGTAAACGTTTGAAAAAATTAACTTGAATCCGTTCTATAACGTCAACATAACGTAGTCCCCAAATTCCAATGGAATATGCAAGAGATGACACAATTATGGATTCAAACAATTTAATTCTAGCGTGCCATGAGTTAATCTTAGATCTGCACATGATATTCATAACAGCCCCGATAGCACGATTTGATTTAGTTACGGTATCCTTAGACATTTCGAGAAAACAAGTAGAAGAAGAAAATATCACCCCAAGATAGGAGTACTTTTTTACAACTTCCAATGGTTCATTGTAGAGATAAAATTTGTTGTTGTAATTGAAATGGTACCCACCCCTGCAGAACACCATAATTTTTGTTTTTTGAGTGTTGACGGTCAACTTATTCTCTGCTGAATACTCTTCCAGAGTTTTCAATTTGCGAGCAAGATCAACTTGTGAATCACTAAATATGATTAAGTCATCAGCATACAGCAGTAATAGAGCGCTGTGTGAGTTGTCAATGCTCACGCCAGAGTGGCCATTATTGAGAAAGTATTCCTCAATATCCGCGAGGAAAAGAGAAAACAGGGTGGAACTGAGTGGTTCCCCTTGAAGAACTCCTTGCGAAACGCTATATTCTTTGCTGTATTGATTTTGTATTTTCACGCAAGTTGATGCATCATCGTATAATTTTTTTATAATTCTGATGAATTTAGAGCTTATCCCTCGATCAAATAATTTAAGCCAGAGCAACTGATGATTGACCGAGTCAAAAGCTCTCTTGAAGTCAACAAAAGCTACAAAAATTTTCCTGCCTCGTAATCGGAGATGAATTTGTAAAATTGAGAGGAGAGTAAATATGTTGTCAGCGCAACTTCTTCCTTTTCTGAAACCTGATTGGCATTCCGGTAAAATATTATTATCTTCACACCATGCAGACAATCTATTGAGTAAAATTGATGTAAATAATTTGGCGAGTGTATTCAACAGGGCAATACCCCGGTAGTTATTAGGATCATTGAGATCACCTTTTTTGTGCAACATTGACAGAGCTGATTCATGCCATGCTCGAGGAATATTTTCAACATCTAGAATATTATTATATAAAGAGCATAAATACATCCAATTGTTTGGCAAATTTTTCAAAAATTCATATGTTATACCATCCTTACCGGGAGATTTTCCATTTTTGCAACTAGCTAGACATATTTGAAGTTCTTCAAGGGTTATGTGAGAATCTAAGTAAGGATTTCGGGCATCAAACAGGGTTAAATCCGATGAAATTTTCGGAGTAGAAATGAGATCATAGTAATTTTCCCATTCGGGTATAGAAATTTGGCAACATTGCCCCGATGATCTAAATGATTTGAGCGTTTTCCAGAATTCAGACTGTTTTTTTGTATTACAAAGGGAGAGGGTAATTTGTTTTTCATGATCAATTTTTTTTCTTCTTATGGTATTTTTATACTGCAGTTTTTGTTTCAAATATTCTGATCTGTAGGGCTCAATGAAATGTTTGTTCTTGCATATATTCAATAGGTTCTTGCAATGTTTTTTAGAGTAGATACATTCAGAGTCATACCAAGGTTTGTTGTTGTAGGTTTATATTATAATAATAGTATCACTCGACTCGCCACATAAGACATCGATTGTCTATCACAATGGCCTGAAGCCGAGTCACGAGTGTTCATGAGATTCGTTCGTATGTACTCCTCTTATCCAACAAATCCGTTGTTGATCCGGCCTGGTTACCGGCGTAGAGATAATGGAGCACGTTTGACTTCAAGTATGGCCACCTTATCCGATGAATCCGTCATCATCCGGCGTCTATACCGGCGTAGAGATAAGATGGCCTGATATTTTTCACACACACTCTTTAAACTTCACATTAAATATTGGATTTTAAACCAGATCAGGTAATTAGAAAAATTAAAGACTTGCACACACATTAATCTGACTTTTGGCCTGGAGACGCCATGTTTCTCCTACATGGCCAAAAGTTTTTTCACAGCTTCCTTTAATTTTGAGAAGGAAATTATGTTGCTTGGCAACCACATGAGCGCATAGCGCGACTGTGCTTTGCTCTTGAGTAAGGATTTAATTTTTTCAAATTCCTTCTGTGAATCGGATAATCAAGAATCTTAAAATCAACCTGCTGAACAAGAAAATCAAGAGCGACCTGCCACCGCAGACTATCCTGAAGATCCACTTATTGATCAAGGATATCCAGATCCTCCTACCACTGGAGAGAATCTCGTTCTTGATGAATCTACTCCCTCTCGCCGTGCCTCCCACTCAACAACTGATTTTTCATCCACTTTTCAAGACAGTTCTCACCCTCGTTCATCTAGAAATCGTCGTCTGCCAGAAAGATTGAAGGACTATGAGATGAATTATTGATGGGAGGAAGAATGTGGTGATATTCGATAATCACCTTATATGTTATTAGTTTATGTCATTCTAACATTTTGACGTCTTATTATTTGTGATACTTAGATTTATGATGAATAAAGCCTTCATTTCCTAGAAAGGTTTATCACTACACAAACATTCAATGTACTTTCCATTGGTTACTTCAATATCCGCAAGAGGGCATATCGCTTATATTGAATCGCCTGTAGACCTAGAACAACTTCTGGAGTAACCAAATTTTCAAAATGATTCCATGTCCCGTTCTCCGTAAACGTCTACGTACCAAAGACCGCGGACACCCTGTGAGTTATCCAAGACATTACAATCAGTTCTGCATTCAAAAAATGCTGAACACATTTGAAGGGGCAAGTGGAAGAAGGAGTTATGGTTTTAGTAAAGTTAGCTGGCATTTTTTAATGTAAGCTAGTTTAATAATTTGATTTATGCAATTATGAGGAATAGTTTTAGGTTTTTTTATGATTTACCGCATTTTGCTATCTTATCATTTTTTGATATACATATGGATTCATGCGTACAGGGTGGGCAAAATTGGTCGTTTTCACCGTCTATCTCAATAACTAGAGGAGTTATCGAAAAACCGATATACATGTTCCGGGTTCGATTTTGGAGAAACCTCGAATGGTACAATCAAAATTCCGATATCTTCATTCGTTTTAGAGATACAGGGGGAAATTGAAAATTTGCCGATTTCGATTTTATTTTCTGACTACTTTACGGTGAGAGGTATCAAGAAATTTCAAACGTATATTTATACAATATGATGCGTGGAATCCATTGGCATCATCAGAAATTTTATACAGGGTGACGTTGAAAAAATACGGCAGCCAATTATGTTTTTTCTAATGGAATACCCCGTATATTTTGGCACAGTTGAATAAGTCCCAGGCGTTCTTATTACAAATATATATATATAACCCTACCTTTGTCTTCCACAATTTCAGATATATTCGCAAAAATATATTCAGTGTGTCACATTTCTTATGGTTACACCCCCGTATCTTCTGTAAGAATAATTGATGGAAACATTAACAATCATAATATTTTGTGGCAGAATGCCTGAATATGATACTTTACCCATTATTCCCAGTATGGCTTAATATTTTTGCTTTCAAAGAGATAATAAATAAGATATATATTTGAAATTGAAACGGGAACTTTCCAGCTCTGCCAAAATATACGGGGTGTTCCATAAAAAAAATTGTTCTGTATCTGGAATTTGGACATCTTCTATAAGGCTATATTTTTCAATGCAACCTACTGATTTCCTAATTGAGTAAATTATTGGTCTTATTTCTGTATCTCAGATGTCTTGATAACAATGATATCAAATCGAATAATTTCCCATTTTATTTCTCACCAAATATCCATTTGTCTGGAAATAACATTCCTTATGATATTTATTTTCCACATTTGGTGAATATATACAGAGTGTCATTTTCAACCTCGATTCTGCCTGTTGATAGCGTTATCCAGTAATATCGATGATTCCATAGATGCAGGCGAGCAGTGTTATCATTGGAGATGATCCCACTTGGCCCATGACTCCATGAGTGTATCATTTGTATCTTTCTGACAGTTGCGAATTTTTGAATCCTACCTCAATTATTTTTACAGAAGATACGGGGGTGTAACCATAAGAAATGTGACACACTGAATATATTTTTGCGAATATATCTGAAATTGTGGAAGACAAAGGTAGGGTTATATATATATTTGTAATAAGAACGCCTGGGACTATTCAACTGTGCCAAAATATACGGGGTGTTCCATTAGAAAAAACATAATTGGCTGCCGTATCTTTTCAACGTCACCCTGTATAAAATTTCTGATGATGCCAATGGATTCCACGCATCATACTGTATAAATATACTTTCGAAATTTTTTGATACCTCTCACCGTAAAGTAGTCAGAAAATAAAATCGAAATCGGCAAATTTTCAATTTCCCCCTGTATCTCTAAAACGAATGAAGATATCGAAATTTTGATTGTGCCATTCGAGGTTTCTCCAAAATCGAACCCGGAACATGTATATCGGTTTTTCGATAACTCCTCTAGTTATTGAGATATACGGTGAAAAGGCCCAATTTTGCCCACCCTGTACATAGCACTTTCTTCCTGACATGTAGATAATGGGCACATACCTCCTTTTTCCATTGCGTTCTTGATGTTTAGTGTTACATAGCCCCTTCTGCCACTGTGTATCTACTCAGATATGAAGAATAGAAACAAATCTTGACATGGCAAATTACATATGCACATATCGCCTTCTTCCATGAGATAATCGATTATTTTCGGAAAATGTTACTTGACCCCTTCTTCCACTTGCCCCTTCATTTATAACGTTTTTAAAAAACTCAGAGTTGGTGATGGAATAGTGTAAAACAAAATTGAATATCTATGAGAGCAGATCTCTTCAATTGGTGAATTTTGTTAACAATATCGACTGGACCTACCGTTTTTGGCACACTGAGCACTCGATGGGCTTTTCCGTACCGTGGAGACGTTTGTGGCTGGTAAGATCGCCGGATTGTCGGAAAGCCTTCCCGCAAAAATCGCACACGAACGGTCTTTCGTTGGTGTGCGTCCTCATGTGGATTTTCAGACTGGCCTTGGACACGTAACCGTTCTTGCATACCTCGCATTTGAACGGTCTCTCACCTAAAATGCGAAATTAATGTTGAACAAAACAAGTTTTTCTAGAATCGAATTAGCTTTTTTGAATCTTTTTTTGCAGTAACACAGGAGATATCACTAATTCTTACAAAATAACATGAAAAGCTTCAGGGAATCTGTTCGACTCCATCTATCTGCCACCCAGCGAGCACAAACATCCCTGGGATGTTTTGAAAATGTTGGCATGAAGATGTTATTTTGAGACGTAATATGCACTGACCAAAGAGGTCTTTGAAGGATATTGAAGTATTGTTTTTGTTCTTCTGTGGCATTTCTTTGTTTACCTACTGAGAGGTGTCCCTGGGATGTTTTGGAAATGTAGGCATGAGGATGTTTTTTTGAGGCGTAATATGCACTTCCCAAAGAGGTCTTAGAAGGATATTGAAAGTATTGTTTTTGTTCTTTTGTGCCCTTTCTTTGTTTGCCCACCACAACGTCTCATGCATGCTTACGTCACAATACGATGAATTCTGATTTGTTTTCGATTTTGTTCTTCTTGTTCGCAATTGGCATTCGCGTTTGCAGCGTGTCACGCTTACATCACGCTGCTAACGAACAGAAAGGAATTTGGTGAAGTTTATTGTGTTAGAAGACTTATTTAGTTTGTAATAATGACCATCAGATGCAAGATGTGTTGTTCGGTGCCTCAGTGTAATCAATATATAAAAGTACGAATTCATCAATACACAGCTTCTCCGCAGTTGCAAAATTATGCATTGTGGAGAACATTTCAAAAATTGGGAAACCTATTTCCAATTATATGTCTGTGTGTAGTAAGCACTACTCAGAAACCGATTAAGAAGGTAATTTCATATTTATGTTCAATCTATTTTCAATGCATTTTTTCATTCAAGAGAAATGGAATCCTAATGCAAAAGTTCATTTTGACAAAAGGCTTCAGAAAAGTACCTCGAAAATGGAAAAAGACGCGTTGAAAATGTTCTGTTGTGTCCATGAAAAGGCTTTAAAAAGAACTAGGAAGAAGGTAGTTTTGTGACATATCAAGGACATCTCGATAATTGCCGCCTGCGGCGGACATTGGCTGTTCTATAATAGTTCTATTCATGTGTGAACAGAACATCGCAGTGGAGGTTCAATGTCTCGAAATCTCGTATTTTTTACATCTCTGAGATGTTTTTGTGCTCGCTGGGCAGTTGCTGTATATCGTTTCTGAAGGAGGGAAATACTAACTTCCGACTTTTTAATAATAAAAACATTTCAATTCAGCCCTGAAATTCCTTCTTGCATAAAAACATCTAAAATAAATGTCTAATATATTATTCTGCATTACCGATCTCTAACCTTCGCTACTCAATAAACAGTAGTTTTTTTTTGATGTATCACAAATTGATATTCATCATACAGGACGTGGAAAGAAATTTTAAATTGAGCAAACCTAATCACAAATTTGCGATTGAAGGATTGTGTGAAAGTATTGAAAAGGAATATTCTCAGATAGTTATGAACATAAAAAAATGGATATACAGGGTCTGCCACCAGTAACGCCTCGGTCTCTAGAAGGCTAACCACTTATCTTCTTGGAATTCTTCCTCTCTAGGAAGTTGCATGTCAACATAGGCTACCATTTAAAATTATTTCGAAACATACAGGGTGTCCCCAAAAACCATAAAACAATGAAGTTAAACTTTTTTCTATCGAACACCCTATATATTATTTCATTTTGAGATTCTCCCTGATGAGCTGATTTCAACGACCCACCATACTTGGGGTCTAGCAGTTATAATTACTGAGATATAGGGTGTGAGCTCGAGTGTGAGAAATCGAGATTTTCCAAGTTCAAGAATTTTTTGTGTCTAAACCATTCATAATTGGTCAAAACGGCTCACATGTCCCTATCTCAACTTTTGATCAACTATCTACTGACATTTAATTGAAACAAATACAGGGTGGTGCAGAATTTAGAATCTTGATCACCCGGTATATGTCCCAATTAAATATCAGTAGATAGTTAATCAAAAGTTGAGATAGGGACATGTAAGCCGTTTTGACCAATTATGAATAGTTTCGACACAAAAAATTCTTGAACTTGGAAAATCTCGATTTTTCACACCATATATTTCAGTAATTATAACTGCTAGACCCCAAGTATGAAATAATATATAGGGTGTTCGATAGAAAAAAGTTCAACTTCAGTGTTTTATGGTAGTATTTTAAATGGTAGCCCATGTTGACATGCAACTTCCTAGAGAGGAAGAATTCCAAGAAGATAAGTGGTTAGCCTTCTAGAGACCGAGCCGTTACTGGTGGCCCACCCTGTATACTATTGTTGATTAAAAATGAATAAAGAGCTCGTTTATTTATCTAAATTATTGTTTCCATATGTATTACCTGTATGAGTTCGTAAATGTAGTTCAAGATTGAACCTCTGCGGGAAATTCTTCCCACAGGTGCTGCAAACAAACGGCCGATCCCCGGTGTGCTGTTTGATATGAATAGACAAAATTTCCGAACTAGCAAACTCCGTCTTGCAATAGTCGCAAATATGCTTGAGCAAACCGGGATCCCCCTCCCTTTTCTCATGGATCTTCATGTGCTTCAGCAAGCTGTTCTCCGCGAAGCAACCCTTGTTGCAAATCTTGCACACGAACGGCTTCTCTCCGCTGTGCTTGAGCATGTGTTTGTTGAGCAAAGTCACGTGGATGAATCTCTTTTTGCACACCTCGCACTCGTGCGGTTTTTGTTCTTCGGGTAAGTGCGTGCGCATATGGTTGTTGAGGTAGTTTTCTTCGGTGAATCCTCTGGGACAGAGCTTGCACTTGAAGGGTCTGTCCTCGATGTGGGTCCGCAGGTGTTTCCTGAACGATTTCATGTTGATGAACTGCTTTTTGCATACGTTGCACTGGTTGGTGTTCCTTTTCAGTTTTTTGTTGGCCAGAACTGGAATTATTTGTTGATAAACACCAATATTTTTTGCACGTTACTTTCTAAACTATCACTTAAAAAGTCTTCGCGCAACAAGCATTTGCTACTTATTCCTAGACATACCAAGTCAATTTTCACCCGAAGCTTTTCCTGTAATGCTGCTAAGCTCTACAATACCATCCCTGTTGAATTCAAGGAATTCACTTTAAATAATTTTAAGAAACGGCTGAAATTGTTTTTCTCTGGGCGGCAGTAGTTTTTCCTTTTTTATGACGGCGTGATTTTTGATCTGGTTGTAACTATCTTATTCAGTGCATTAAACTGTACTGTCCACTTATACATTTATACTAATTTTCTGGTAATTATTCCGATAACCTATGTACAATTCTTAATCATAAATTCATTTTGAAAATTCTGTAATTTAGTTTCTCATTAATTATATTTATATCATTCTACCGGTTGGGTTTAAAAGCAGCTTCTCAGCTGAACCCCGCCCTTTCATCTATTTGTTTCTTTCTCTACCAGTTGTGAAATGATGATGATGAATAAAGACATATTATTATTATTATTATCATTTCAAATTCATATAATTCCAGTCACGACCCTGCGGCCTCCGACGTCACGCAGAGTCGTGCTGGATAAAATCCAGTGACTACTCCTCACAGCCTGTGAGGTATTATTATTATTATTATTATTATTTAGTTCATATAATTCCAGTCACGACCCTGCGGCCTCCGACGTCACGCAGAGTCGTGCTGGATAAAATCCAGTGACTACTCCTCACAGCCTGTGAGGTGAGGTATTATTATTATTATTATTATTATTATTATTATTATTATTATTATTTAGATTCAACTAGTACCACCATTGAGAGTCAATGTGAACCGTATTTTGATACATCATTGAAAGTTTTAAACAGTTAATTATCATGAAAGATGATTATACTTCAGTTTTACTATTGAATTAAAAAAAAATGTATTTTCTACATTGAGGATCATAATGGTGAATCCGAGAGCAAATATTTCCAGAAAGAAAAAACTCGGATTAGAGTTTTTTGAATACTTAATAGTCTCATTATTCGACAATCATTAACCCAGATATGCCTACCATCCTTCTATAAGGACACTACGTGAAAAGATTTCTACTGAGTAATTTGGGTATCTTCAAGGATTTTCTCATGGATGGCACTACCCATATCAAATGAAAGAACATTCTTTATAGAATTTGTTATCAACACAGCTTATCGTCAATACCTGAATACAAATGGAAATCAAGTATTAGCAATTAGGACTGAAATATTTCGATTTTTGATTTTGCATTGAATTGATAGTTTTTTGTGATCATTTTTGTTGTCGAACTGCATCTCACAACCTCAAATTTTCAAATGTTGTTTGAGATGGACACTTTCTGCAATCGTTAGAAGATCATAAAACTGATAATGATCGAACTGAAATATCAGTGGCAATAATTATGCCTCCTCTCAATTATTTTGAACCACTTACGCAGATTAGGACTTGAGCGATGAAGATAAAAGGACAGTTTAGTACGGTTTAGTGACCTCATGATATTTTTCATACAACCGCAACATGGGGGGGATATGTGTGGAATTATGGAAGGGAACCAGAGAACATCTTCCAAACGTTCAAAACCCTCTTCATTCAGATTGTCGTTACGATTATTGGATGGTAACGCAGGAGAAGAAAACTAAATTCCGATATTCTCATGAAAACTTTTTCACCAAATGCGTGCAATAACGTTGCTCTCTGAGTTTCATGATTCAAGCCCTATTATAACAGAGACTAGTTGAATTACATTCTTCATTAGATTTTATGTTCAGAATGGTTTTTATGTCCTCTTATATTATATTCAAGGAAATGTCACTCATTTACCTACTGTCCTCTTAAAAGGACAAGGTCTCTTTAGAAACTTATGTTTCTCATTTTTGAATACTGAACTAGTTTTACACAACAAAAACCGAAATTTGAAACAAAATATTTTCAGGCATATATCTGCGTTAAAGCTTTCTAGAACTCATTAACCTCGGTATTTCGTCCATCTACACCTACACAAATGGCGGTTCTGGATCAAGTCAATTGTTACCTTGAATATTTGTAAATACAGTTAGCTGAATTACTGGTTGAAACAGAATGTAGATAAGTTCACTATTATAAATGATATTATTTGCTGCAGCACAACTTAATTATCGTGAATTTATTATTGACGAAAACTTATATTGAAAAAAATGATAATCAATTTGTTAGAAATTTTCATAAAAATATATTTGTTGTGGAATTGGTTGTTCATTACTATCGAATTCATTTCACACTGATTTGGATTTCCACAAAAATAATTATACTGTGAATGGAAAGGTACTTGATACTCTGCCCTACCATGAAATTTTTAACCTAAACTCAATACAATACCTGACCAATAACTGGAGAAACAGGAAAAAAATTACCCAGAAAAGGATTAATTTTTCATTCAGTGAAAATCTGTTGATTGTTTTCTGAACTGTGGAATAATTAGGTAATTTATGTACAATAAAGGACTCACTTCTTCATTTACTTTACAGGTCGAACCAACTCAGTCCCCCCGAAAAAAGTATTTTTAAGCATTCCTAAATATTATTGTAGCATTTTGGTATACATGTAGCTATGTAACAAGTCTTTAAAGCTTCACTCGATGTTAATAATGTGGACCATATATTGAACAGATCCAAATATTCAATTTTATTCATAAGTAGGTGATTAGTTGATTAATATCTAGACTAGAGAATTCTCAAATTGCAAAAATTCCTGAATATTGCAAAAATCGCAAAAATTGGAAAAATTGCAAAAATTCCTGAAAATTGGAAAAATTGCAAAAATTCCTGAGAATTGCAGAAATAGCAAAAATTGCAAGAATTCCTGAAAATTCCTGAAAATCGCAAAAATTCCTGTAAATTGCAAAAATTCTTGAGAATTCCTGAAAATTGCGAAAATCACAAAAATGCCTGAAAATTGCAAAAATAGGCAAAAATTCCTGAAAGTTGTGAATGCAAAAATCGCAAAAATTACTGAAAATTGCAAGAATCGCAAAAATTCCTGAAAATTGCAAATCGCCAAAATTTCGCAAAAATTGCAACAATTCCTGAAAATTGCAGAAATAGCAAAAATTGCAAGAATTCCTGAAAATTCCTGAAAATTGCAAAAATTCCTGTAAATTGCAAAAATTGCAAAAATTGCAAAAATTCCTGGAAATTGCAAAAATCGCAAAAATGCCTGAAAATTACAAAAATCGCAAAAATTCCTGAAAATTGCGAAAATCGCAAAAATTGCGAAAATCGCAAAAATTGCAAAAATTCCTGAAAATTGCAAAAATTGTAAAAATTCCTGTGAATTGCGAAAATCGCAAAAATTCCTGTGAATTGCAAAAATTGCAAAAATTCCTGAAAATTGCCAAAATCGCAAAAATTACTGAAAATTGCAAAAATCGAAAAAATTGCAAAAATTGCAAAAATTACTGAAAATTGCAAAAATTGCAAAAATTCCTGAAAATTGCAAAAATCGCAAAAATGCCTGAAAATTGCAAAAATTGCAAAAATTCCTGAAAATTGCAAAAATCGCAAAAATGCCTGAAAATTGCAAAAATCGCAAAAATTCCTGAAAATTGCAAAAATCGCAAAAATTGCAAAAATTGCAAAAATTCCTGAAAATTGTAGAAATAGCAAAAATTGCAAAAATTCCTGAAAATTGCAGAAATAGCAAAAATTGCAAAAATTCCTGAAAATTGCAAAAATCGCAAAAATGCCTGAAAATTGCAAAAATCGCAAAAATGCCTGAAAATTGCAAAAATCGCAAAAATTCCTGAAATTTACAGAAATAGCAAAAATTGCAAAAATTTCTGAAAATTGCAAAAATCGCAAAAATTCCTGAAAATTGCAAAAATCGGAAAAATTACTGAAAATTGCAAAAATCGCAAAAATTACTGAAAATTGCGAAAATCGCAAAAATACCTGAGAATTGCAAAAATCTCAAAAATTGCAAGAATCGCGAAAATTGCAAAAATTCCTGAAAATTGCAAAAATGGCAAAAATTGCAAAGATTCCTGAAAATTGCAGAAATAGCAAAAATATAAAAAATTCCTGAAAATTCCTGAAAATCGCAAAAATTCCTGAAAATTGCAAGAATTGCAAAAATTCCTGAAAATTGCACAAATTGCAAAAATTCCTGAATATTGCAAAAATCGCAAAAATTCCTGAAAATTGCAAAAATCGCTAAAATGCCTGAAAATAGCAAAAATCCCCAAAATTCCTGAAAATTGCAAAAATCGCAAAAATTGCAGAAATTCCTGAAAATTGCGAAAATTGCAAACATTCCTGAAAATTGCAGAAATAGCAAAAATTGCAAAAATTCCTGGAAATTCCTGAAAATCGCAAAAATTCCTGAAAATTGCAAAAATTGCAAAAATTCCTGAAAATTGCAAAAATCGCAAAAATGCCTGAAAATTGCGAAAACCGCAAAAATTCCTGAAAATTGCAGAAATCGCAAAAACTGCAAAAATTCCTGAAAATTGCAAAAATTCCTGAAAATTGCAAAGATCGCAAAAACTGCAAAAATTGCAAAAATTCCTGAAAATTGCGAAAATTGCAAAAATTCCTGCTAATTGCAAAAACTGCAAAAATTGCAAAAATTCCTGAAAATTGCAAAAATTCCTGCTAATTGCAAAAATTGCAAAAATTACTGAAAATTGCAAAAATCGCAAAAATGCCTGAAAATTGCAAAAATCTCAAAAATGCCTGAAAATTGCAAAAATCGCAAAAATTCCTGAAAATTGCGGAAATAGCAAAAATTGCAAAAATTTCTGAAAATTGCAAAAATCGCAAAAATGCCTGAAAATTGCAAAAATCGGAAAAATTACTGAAAATTGCAAAAATCGCAAAAATTACTGAAAATTGCGAAAATCGCAAAAATACCTGAGAATTGCAAAAATCTCAAAAATTGCAAGAATCGCGAAAATTGCAAAAATTCCTGAAAATTGCAAAAATGGCAAAAATTGCAAAGATTCCTGAAAATTGCAGAAATAGCAAAAATATAAAAAATTCCTGAAAATTCCTGAAAATCGCAAAAATTCCTGAAAATTGCAAGAATTGCAAAAATTCCTGAAAATTGCACAAATTGCAAAAATTCCTGAATATTGCAAAAATCGCAAAAATTCCTGAAAATTGCAAAAATCGCTAAAATGCCTGAAAATAGCAAAAATCCCCAAAATTCCTGAAAATTGCAAAAATCGCAAAAATTGCAGAAATTCCTGAAAATTGCGAAAATTGCAAACATTCCTGAAAATTGCAGAAATAGCAAAAATTGCAAAAATTCCTGGAAATTCCTGAAAATCGCAAAAATTCCTGAAAATTGCAAAAATTGCAAAAATTCCTGAAAATTGCAAAAATCGCAAAAATGCCTGAAAATTGCGAAAACCGCAAAAATTCCTGAAAATTGCAGAAATCGCAAAAACTGCAAAAATTCCTGAAAATTGCAAAAATTCCTGAAAATTGCAAAGATCGCAAAAACTGCAAAAATTGCAAAAATTCCTGAAAATTGCGAAAATTGCAAAAATTCCTGCTAATTGCAAAAACTGCAAAAATTGCAAAAATTCCTGAAAATTGCAAAAATTCCTGCTAATTGCAAAAATTGCAAAAATTACTGAAAATTGCAAAAATCGCAAAAATTCCTGGAAATTGCAAAAATCACAAAAATTGCAAAAATTCCTGAAAATTGCAAATTGCAAAAATTCCTGAAGATTGCAAAAATTGCAAAAATGCCTGAGAATTGCAAAAATCGCAAAAATTGCAAAAATTCCTGAAAATTGCACAAATTGCAAAAATTCCTGAATATTGCAAAAATTGCAAAAATCGCAAAAATTCCTGAAAATTGCAAAAATCGCTAAAATGCCTGAAAATTGCAAAAATCGCAAAAATTCCTGAAAATTGCAGAAATAGCAAAAATTGCGAAAATTCCTGAAAATCGCAAAAATTCCTGAAAATTGCAAAAATTGCAAAAATTCCTGAAAATTGCAAAAATCGCAAAAATGCACCAATATAGAATATAATTGAGTACATATGCATTATATACATAATTTAAATTTGTGACACTTACCAGCAGCTTTACCTCCTTTTGCTAGCAATTTTCTCTTACTGATCCCCCTCCTCTGGAACTTGGCAGCCTTCAATAGCTGCTTTTGAGCAATGACTTTTTCATCATTTGAATTATCAACCAGTGTGGATTGCAACAAACTCAGATCATCTCTGAAGTCATCTTCATCACTGTTCTCAGATGATGAATCAAATCCATAATTGTCCAGCAACAATGATGAAGAATATTCATTATTCTGGTGGACTTCTTCTTCTTTGCTTCGTTTCAGACCAACAGGTTTTCCAAGGTACGTTCTGAGATTCATGTCAGACTGCTCACAAAGTTGTTTGAAAGAATAGCACCTGCTTATTTCATGGGCACACTGTATGCATATAAGACTGGGAAGACCATCCCCATTCTCGATCTAGAAATAAATTCGGATTATTTTGGCACTATCCCCTGATATAAAATATGACTGAAAATTATGAATCATTCAATAATTTCATTCATTTTTCATGGTTGTTTCTGAGTTATTTTACTTTCATAAATCTAATGTGGATTGTCATGTAAAGTAGGGTTTTCTGTCCCTGGAACATTATTTATTGTCCACAACCCCCTGTAGGGCACCCTTGGCTCCCTGGTCGAAAAATGACCCATTCAAAGATGAAACCATATACCGAAGTTTAATGCATTATATTCAATTATTCTTGAGATATTGCGAACCAACTATTTTAATTTCTTAACCTCAACGCCCTGTATCTCGAGAACTGAACACTTGAAGACTGTATGTCCCTATCTCAGTGATTATGAAATCACGAGGGCTATCACCTGTCAAGCGTTGTCGGTCGAATTTCGAAACACCCTGTATATATAATTATATATATATTTCAAAAACACCTCGTGTGGATAAGAAAATGAATGAAAATATCCTTAAATTTCTTTTCACTCCACCCCGTATACCTACTATCGATATCGGAATTAGTCATACTTGTTCGGGAATTAATCGGTTGAAAGGATGATGTAACCAATGAGTCATTTGAATGAGGAATAAAATCAATCAGCAGTCTCGTTCTAGACTTCATCGAGTACGGTCGTTTTAAGTGATAATAAAAAAAAACTCGGAAGTATGTAAGAGTGGAAAAGTGGAATTCATATTCAAAGTGATTGTATTTTCGTTTGTGTGTATGAAAGTTTTATGTTTTCAAGACGGTAAGTGTTTTGTATTATATATATTGTCAAGAAAGGATAAAAACTATAATTTTATTGAGAATATTTGAAATTCTCATTTCATTCAAGAATAGTACAATAACCTAGTCTAGATCATATTCTTAGAATTATTTAGCTTACAGGATATCAGTAGAGAATTACGATATTCAACGGAAATTATAATTCGGATTTCAATTTTATTATTATTCAAGTAAAGTCGCTGACGGGCAGAAACTGCTGGTTTTGGATTTTTCCTAATCCAGGTGAATACACTAGTTTTTATGCTGAATCAATTACCACTACCAAAACCAAGATGAAAAAGTATTAGAGAAAAAACCGGCAGTTGTGGTTCGGACAGTGGACCGTAAAGTCTTTTCAAATATTCTAATAGAAAGTAAATCTCAAACTTTGCATCATGTCTAAACTTCGTGAGGGGCAGTTCCAATCCTCCAACGAAAAGCGAGCCCTTCTGTAAGTACCTTTTTTGAGTATTACTAGTTTTAGTTTTCCTGTTTTGTTTCGATTTGAGTTGGATGTATCTTGCTGGATAATTAATGGTCAATTTATTTCCTGCCCTAATTGTTTGTATTCAGAATGAATAAACTTGTGAAGTGGAGATAAATTATTTAGTTATCATTTTCAAAAAAACCTCTTGCAAGCGAGTAAGTTCGAGTTGCGATAGTGGGCGTTAGACCCACTCGTGACAATATGGAGGCATTCATCACGTGGTTGTTATTTTTCTTCGGTATATTTCCATATAACGATGAACAAATTTTGAAATATGCTTTCTTTACCTATTCATACAGAGGATCTAGATGGATATCAATACATTAAGTTGCGAAAATAAAATAAAATTTCGTATTCATTTAGGATGGAATAATTCGCTTTGTTAACTTATACACAGGTACTAAAAATAGGTATTGAAATTAGTTGCAAAAACATTCGTCATTTTGTAGAGACTTATTTTTAGGTAGGTACACGAAACTATTCGAAATTTGGTATACCATTCTTCAACACATGGAATTTAATTGAATCGTATCGAAATTCGAAAAGAATGCATACTTCGGTACTAATAGCAATATATGTATATATAGCACCCTATATTTCATTTTTCTAATCGGAAGACTTCTTTCTGTTGATTTCAAATATACAGGGTGTAATTTAATTGATTACTGATAATATAGGATATGGTTCTTTAGCTAATTTTAAGAAGAGAAGTTCATAATATGAACATACTACCTAAACCTCTCAACTTTCGAACTATATAGGGTGTTAACATTTTATTTTCTCTTCATTGATTAACTTACTCAATGTAGAAAACTGTCACGTTTATGAATACTTGTCAAAATAAGACCGCAACGTAATCGATCAAATGCCATTATTTCAAATACAAAATAGGGCATTAGCCTACTAGTTCAAAATAATTTCGTTATGCCACAAATGCATGAAAATCTCTATGAAAATTGTTTTTATTTTTTTACGTGAAAACGGTTCATCCGACGGAAAAAAAGGAAAAAAACAGGTCAAATTGTTGCTTAGTAGGTGCATTTCAAATTTTATGAAAATATCTAGAACAGTATTGAAGGTATGACAAGAAAACAATTTTTTTCTAAAAATCTCAACACCGTGTAGGTCGAAAGTTAAAAGGTTTAGTGCATTATGTTCATATAAACTTTTCTTCTCAAAGTGAGCTAAGGAACTGTATCCTTTATTTTCAGCAATCAAATAAATTACAGCCTGTATATACTTTATTGGGGTTAACAGTTTTCGGAAAATTTTTTCGTATACATCGATTTATATCGAAAACGGCAATATTGAGGTATAGGACATACTTCATAAAAATTGTGGGTAATTTGGATCTGAAACCGTAAAAAAATACAAGGTGTTCCATTTGAAATAATGAAGTTCCGGCATCTTCAATCTCGTCAAGTCTTTCCGTCTAACATTGACAGTGTTCGAACTGATTTTGTAGGAACGAATGGAACACATCTTGGACTCTACTCGTATGAATTTATTTCGTTTTAATGTCCAAATAAGAATCAAAATAATTGTTTTGTAGGCCTATACACTCGCCTCTACATAATCAGGTTTTCACGGAAATAATTGACTAACTTGGCAACCGTGGAGCCAAATATAGAAAATAAAAACAGTTGTGTAGCAATTTTGACAGTGCATTTGAGAATGCAATTGAAAACAGGGTATCCCATTTAAAAAATTCATCATCAGCCGATATCTTGGATTCGTACACCCTATAGATATGAAAATAAATTTAGGTGATAGTACTCATGAAACCCTATAACTATTTTATTCGAATTTTGTCTATACAAGGTGTTTCAAAAAAACCCGACCCCCTTGCTAGGGTAGGTAGAACACTGCAAAATAAGTTGGGTTTATTCAGTAAAAAAATTCCGCAACGGCATCCGCTATCAAGATACAAGGTGTTGAAAAAATAATTTTTTACACATTTTTCAAGATTATGTCGAAACTACTGGCAACATTGTGATGAAATTTTGTATAAATGTTTCTTGGAATCTGACACATCGCATGCATTTGTTTTTATATCTGACTCTCATAGAGGGAGCTAGTTACAGGGTTCGTACCGAGTAGTTTTGAACATAACTTTTTTGAGGTTAGATTTTTCAATCCAAATTTGGAGTGAACTTGAACATCATTCAATTTCACACCAAAAAGGTACTCTTGGTAAAACTCGATACCATCGTCCACCAATATTCTAATCTGTGTTCCGTTTTCGGAATATTTCGATTTGAAAATGATAAAGTGATAACTGTTGCTGGTATAAAGCTATGTATTAGAGTGAGTATTATGAAAAATAATCACCTATTTATTGAAAACAGAAAACAACAATACATTTATGATGCAAAACTCATTGATTTAACAATGAATCACAAAAATAACATCGAAACAGATTTGACTAAGAACATGGATTACACAGTTTTGTTGTATCTTGAGCAGAAAGTCTATTTTTTGTTATCGCTTGGAGCGCACGAAAGGGAATCCCTATAATCTTCAAAGAACATTGTGCGTTCCTGGGGAGGATATAGGGACAGGAGGTAGGTATTGGAATTTTTTTGAACTTTTGGAGATTATATGTTGTTGGGAATACTTCCACAGGCAATGCTACATAGGTGAAATTCACGTCAAGAATTGTGAGACATAATTGAACATCACTCACATGACCTAACAGCCGATCCTCAACTGTTTAGAAGAATAATACATTCTTGAGAAAAGAATATAGACTCGTGTATTCCTCGAAACGATTCAATATTTCATGTTTCTAGTCAAATATCTCTCAATTTTCTACTTATGATTCTTTGTTTCATCAATAACTTCAGCACAAGGATAATTTCATTGTTTTTGAACCTGAATGAATAGGTAATTGAACTCAATAAAATTCATTTTATACCAGCATCATTACTACTCCATTATTTTCAAATCGAAATATTCCGAAAACGGAACATAGTATCGAGTTTCACCAGGAGTACCTTTTCGGTGTAAAAGTAAATGAAGTTCAAGTTCATATCATATTTGGATTGAAAAATCTAACCTCAAAAAAGTTATGTTCAAATCTACTCGGTACGAACCGTGTAACTAGCGCCCTCTCTGAGAGTCAGATATAAAAACAAATTCATGCCATGTGTCAAATTTCAAAAAACTTCTATACAAAATTTCATTATAATGTTGCCAGTAGTTTCGGAATAATCGTGAAAAATGTGTGAAAAAATAATTTTTTCAACACCTTGTATCATGAAAACGGATGCCGTTACGACTGAGCAAACCCAACTTATTTTGCAATGTTCTACCTACCCTAGCAAGGGGGTTAGGTTTTTTTGAAACACCCTGTATATCTGACGGTTTGGCTAATATCGAAAGAGAACACCATTATTGACTCACTCTATATACTAAAAATGACCCTGTTTTTTATTGTAAGTATATTTGATTCCATTTTACCCCCTGTAAAACAAATTCTCCATATCAAATTTAGTCATGCATGAAATTTTATCTTTCGGGAATTTATCGTTTAGGAAGGTGACGTAACTAATCAGTCATCAGAATAATGAATCAAGCCCGCCATTCACTAGTCGTATAATATTAGATTTCGTCGTGTACGGTCGATTCCATTGGTTCAACAAAATAACTTAGGATTCGTGTTCTTAATTCCTAGTACAATTCATGAAAAAGTATCATTCTGGAAGTCTG